ATTCGTGTCTGGGTTATTTTTTTATCTTCGCCTTTTAATTTCCTGTTGTTTGTAATGTCAACTGGAAAAGAACTGGAAATCACTCGCAGCGTGTATCTCACCTCTGTGAAAGTAGCCAAAGACATGCTTTTGATTTTTAAACCATTATTACTAGATCCCTCCTGGTCATGCAAAACATCAGCAAAATGTGCTGCTGCACCTGAGGGCACTTCCCTGTGTGAGTGAGATGAGCCAGATTAGAGCCTGCATTTTTGCAGTTCTTACTGTTGGTGTGAGCTCTGCTGAGTCTTCTTTCAGCTATAAATTCTTGCTAGTCACAAAGCACTGCTTTCTCTCTGGCCTTGCTACGTCCCTTGCCTGGTTTTGCCAAGCTTAAGCTTTAAGTTGTCTGCCACTCAAATGTGTTGGTAGATTAAATATTAAAAACACATTTATTTCTATGGTTCTAGTTATTTGTCTCGCTGTATTGCACCTTTCGTAGAGCTGACATGGAAGTCCATCCTCAGTGAGAAATTTTCATGTTGGATGTACTTATAAGATGGGCAGAAGAACGAGAGGTGCTACAATTAGCAGTTCTTCATCCCTTCCCACATTTCCGGTGTTAGACGTGGTGTGAAATGGCACTGCAAGGGACCAGCATGGCCTTACCGTTTAATGTGCCAGCCAGGCACTGAAGTTATTCCACTTTTTGAGCAGCTAGAATGCTGACTGACTTTCAGATAAGTCCTCAAAGAGGAAATATGTGTTTAGGGATACGGACAATGGAAGCTCTTATTAGCTTGCTACAAAAAAGTGAAAGAAAAGCAAATCTGATAATGAGCAGCTTGCCCTCAGGGTGAAGCTGTTTGAATGGAAGCTTTGCATAAGTCAGGGTTGTGTCGGGGGACCCTACATGCACCTGCACACCTAGGAGAACAGTTTAGTATTGTGTTCTGGTTGGGTTGTGTGTATGGATGCAATGTACCACATTGCAAACAGCTTTAGCAGCCGTGGTTGGAGCTAAATCCTTGCAGAGAGGTTTTCAAGATTGCATGTAAAATGTGATTTTACATCCAGAGTGCAATTTGTGGTGTGAATTGCATTCGGTGCTGTGAATGTGAGGCTCATTAATTCACTGGCGTTTCAGTAGGAACTTGCTCGGCCCTCTGACATTGTACTCATTGCTGTCAGCCCATCGGGTAGAATAATTAGGTATCTTCATTTAACCATAATTTAAATTGGCATGGGACGACAAGATGCAAATTGAATAGCTTTAATGTGCATGTCGTGCTGAATAGTTTGATTGCTCAAAGTCAGATTTTAAGCTTTCAAAGGCACAGAGAAAGTGATGTCAAAGCCCCCATTTGTCAAAGATTTCGGCATCCAGCCGCTTTTACCTTCCTTCTTAAGATCTCTGCTAAGGTCAGAATGCAACAAACAACATTGACATATGCACTGTGAGACTAAATAGTGCAGGCTCTAATTTGTACGTTCTTCCAGACCACCCCCTTTTACTCTGGGCTGAATTGTTGGCCTCAGATCAAACTCCAAGGCCCTTTTCTCCTCTTGTAAAATCTGTAAATATGTCTCTGTACATAATGTAAGAAGCTTCACATCCTACAAAGCAGCGCCCACGTGTTTCACTGGAAAGGATGAGGGCTGAAACCTACTTTTCTGACATGGAAATGTCTTGAAATGCATTATTGGTTTTACTTTTTTGGTCAGAATAGAAGTTAATCCTTTTGCTAAGTAATGTTGAACAGATTTGAGTTGTGTCTGTTTCTGTATCAGAAATGAGGATTCACTCCTTTTTCCAAAAGCAGAATTAGCTTACACTTTGGAAGTTGCACAGAAAACTTGGAATGTAGTATGTTGTGTGTACTTGGAAAGATCAAACCTTTTCAAGCAAGAAGTGTTTTTCTCTATGAAACAAACCTGCAAAACTCCACAAACAGATTTCTGACTACAGCTTTGCGAAGGGAAAAATGGTAGCCTTGAAATCTTCTCATTGTTAGATCTCCCAGTTTCCTAAGTAAATCCATGCAAAGAAAACACAGAATCACTGGGCTAATATGAAAGAATGACATCCTCTGCTTCCCATTGTTTTTAACTCTGAGTTAGCGGCGACCTTTAGCTTCCTACTGGGATGCAGTGGAAACCTGGAGGCCCCACGTTACTTCAAGTTACACATTTACCATAGTTTTTTGTCTTTAAGCTTGAGGTTCTGCTATGTCTGATACAAACTGGCCAGACAAATAGCCTCAGTAAGTAAACCTTCTGTACTGAGATGAAGCTTAGGCCGGTGTGTGTATGGCTTACTTAAAGCACAGCAAAAGCCCTGTGATCTGCACTGACCATGATCTTTCTGTATTCTGTGATTTGCTTCATCACACAGTCGCTGTGCCTCACTCATGCTGATATCACAGCTGCATCTCTTCTGATGCTTACATGTAGAACTCTGCCTTTGCAGCAGTAGTTTGAATCTCAAGTTTTGAAATACGTACCTGTTGTGTGGTAGGTAGGTAGGTCAGGATTTGTGATCAGCCTAGCAGGCTGAGTTTGCAGCTGTGTATTTCTTTTTCTTTGGAATACTCTGTCTGCTGTTTTAGTTTTAAGGTTTTCTTTGGTGAGAAATTCCTCAAATGGCTGAGGACAACCACACCTATTACTTTGGTAAGTTGAAGCAGAAGTGACTTACCCTGTACACTCATTTACTGGCTGATAAAATCACGCTGTCCCACTAGCTGTGACTTAGTAATCGATGTCCCAGGGCCAGGAGAAGGATCCAGGGGTCCAGAGGCACCAGCATTCAAAGAAGCTCTGCCATGCCAAATATGGATGGTACTGGGACTGCTAGCAAGATATCTGTGCTTTCTTTTTCAAAATAAAGAGAATTATTATTTTCAAATACCAAAGAGGTTTATTGGGGGGTGAAATTCAGGCTGAAATTACAGTCCTTCAGCCCCATTAAGCTCTGTGGTCTCAAGAGGTGTACCTGTGGCAGGACTTGGACAGCTCTATTTACCTTCCACTGTTGTAGAAAATAGCTCCCTGTTGGATATGAGATTTGGAAATAAAAATAGTGGCAATAATACTTGCATTAAGGGCGGAGTTGTTTTCTGTCATCCCAGTTGGTATAGCTCTGCTAGGCAAGTTCTTGGCTGTACTGAAGCTAATGGAAAAGTCACAGTTTAAGAACAACCAGAATTTGGTCTCTGGTCCGTAAATAAAACTTACCTGGATTCTGAAGTGCAACCAGGGTATGTGCCCTTATGTCTGCATACATGGTTTTATGGTTGCTTAATCTGACACTAATGCAGAAAGCTACCAATAACAGATACTATTAACTGCTTAATGATGAGAGGAATAGGATAGAAACAAAATATTTTTTTTCACAGCTTCGTATAGCAGCGAGGGCTGTTATCAAGCAGTAGCGATGTAAAGAACATAAATTGCTGTGGTTCCAGGTCATAAAGCAAGTCTGTGAGTCTATTGCTGATCTTGAGAGTGCTGGCTGTCAAAGTTAAAATGGAATTTCTAGGCGTTCAGAAAGATTTATTTTTCTGTATTTTTGTATCTGTGTTGTTACCGAGTTCTGTCTGAAGTATCCTGGGACGAGTTGGTTGCCAGGTGTTTTCTAGTTGCAGATGATTGCTCTGGGAACTCTGCTGCAGCCAAGGCTAGAGATATGGAGCTGGAGGCAGAAGAAGGCTGCTGGCGGTTATCGCGTGTCTCTGTGGATGAGTTGTTGTATGTTTCTGCTTGCATGCTTGATCTTAATTCTTTGTCACGGAAGATCAAGGCCACCATGTACCCGGGAACAGAGGAGCTGCTCTGAGACCAAACCATGTCCATGTAACGCAGTGCTTTGCTCTGCCCACAGTCAGCAGAATGTGCTTTGGAGAAAGATGCAAGAATCTATTTAAAGTTACAAAAACGAGAAGAGTTTCTGACGTTCCTCTTCGGAACTGAGCCTGGACATGCTGGTTTACTTCTCCTTTCTAACAATTCTGGCATGTAGTATGGTACTTGTATTTTAATTTTATCTCCTTAAGACTTTGTTGCTAAGCTGATAACTGCAATTAAAAATTTGTACTCTTGAATGGAATTTATAAATGGTGGAATGACTTCCAAAGCCCATTCTGCCATGGCAGTGCATGCTTACCACTGACACGCTGTCAGTGTGGAACATTCATGTATTTGCAAATCTGCAAATACTGTTGCAAGGACCAAAAACAGATGGAAGCGTTTAAGAGAAAGCAAGTGGGATGAACCGTAACCAAATAGGAGTTTGCCTTTTGAAGAGAACCTTCAGGACAAGAGAGGCAGGGTGCTTTTCATGCATAAAGCAGTCTCCTGCAGATGGAAAAAAAAAGATCTGGGGGTTGCATTGATATTTTAGAGGGATGAAACATTTACAAACTCGGGCAAAGAGGGCTTTGCAAACCCAAACAGCTTTTGTTTTTTTAACAACTATACTGTGAGGAAGAATAAGTCCTGGGAACTCAGAATCAATGCTTCCATTGATTGCCCTGCAAGTTTTAATTTGCTTATTGTTTGTTTTCTTTTTGCCTTTTGCTGTGAAAGTGATCAGCTCTCTGCAGAATTTCAGACAAGAGGGCTGTTCTGCATACGCTGTCTCTCAGCTGTGTTATCATCTGTCCTCAGTGCTGGAAAACCTGGGATTGTTTCATGCCGTTTCATGCCATGCTGTGACGTCTGTTGTGACAACAGCTGAGTCAAGTTCAGAGGTAGTGCTGTCGGTTGCAGCCCCTCCTCCAAAGAGCAGCCCGATAACCTTTACACAGTACCCTGCCTCTGGCACTGGGACTGGATAGCAAAAGCCAGCTTCTAGGTGATTAGGGACGCTTAGGTTTTGTGATCCTTGGTAATAAAAACTCATGAAATTAATGCAGCTGCTCAGGGAGGAAGCTGATCTATCCTGCTTGCACTGGGCTTTGCTTGGAGGAGAAAAGACAGTGCTTGCTTCTGAAGGACAGGTTGTTGAATCTGGGTAAGCATTTTGTTTCCCGGAGCTAAATAGTGATGGATCAGATAATCATATTTTATTGAAAAACAGAGTTTTGCTGTCAGTGTTTATATGTTACAGTGTTTGATTATTTATTTATTTTTTAATCAATGTAAAACCTCAAAGTTAGAGTGGGAGAGGGACGAAGCTGTGCTGGTGGTTGATGTAAGGATCAAACAGCTCTTCTGATCCCACACGTAGCCCGAGTCAGTGTGAGCAGTCAGGTTCATAGCTGGGCTGTCAAAAGGGAGTGCTGAAAATACTCTCTCTTATTTTGCCAATTAAACTGAATGGAGCTTATTATTGGAGATTAAACAGCACTGAGGTTTTCTCCTAACTTAATCTTGGCTTTTCTGATTCCTAAAGAACTCTTACAAGGCTCTCCTGTGCCCTTTGGGTAATACAAACTCTCTTCTGCTAAGGCTGCAAGACTTAGGCTGCAGTGAGTCCGTGTGGTCTCTTGCCCTTTCTTCATGGATGACCTGCAAAGAAGAGCTATCATTCCTCTCAGGAAACTTGACACTTCTGGTCAGTGGCCCCTTGCATTTTTTCCCAGCTGGCTGGCATTCTAGGTGACTGATCACAGAAGTACTCAGTTCATCCACTTGTTCAGGATTCCCCATGCCAATGCTATTCCATTTCAGGATAAACGTACTGAGGAGGTGTGTTCTGTTGATCATATCTGAAAACAGAGCTGTGCTTCCCTGGACAAACACCTTTAGGTTCTTCCTTCTCTGTAGCTCTGTACCAGTAAGAGTAAATATGCATGTGAGATATTACCTGGGGATCATTAAATGCTTGACTACTGTTAGCTTAGTGCCATTTTAGGAGGGTCACAAGGAGCTCTAAAGTATTTCTGACCTTTTTTCAACCCCTCTCCTTTTGCAGAGAGGTGGATGTGGCTGAAGGACTTGGCATTTTTCATCAACTGAGAGGTCCCAGGCTAGCAGGTGGAATCCCTAGGAGATGCTCCTAGTGGAGGGATCTCCACAGCTTGCTCTGAAATAGTTTAGTGATTTGAATGTAAACCAACAAAACAAATCATAGAGAAAGAAAAGCATGAAAGAGGATTGACAGGGTGAGAAAGGGCTTATGGCTGTAAGCACTGCACCTCTGCTGTTGCTGGGTGCTGAAAAAGGTCCTTATATCCTTCAGAGTCTGAATCATGTTTGGGAAACCTTGACCTCTGACAGAGGAGTAAGCTGAGGCCAGTGCTAATGGTTTGTTTAAACACAAGTTCTTAAACTCTGATTAATTGATTGCTGTAACTCTGTTTGGTAACTACAGATATTTTTGTCCTATAACAGATGTCAGCAGACTGTCTGGAGGAATATGTGCGTACAAAATGTTTGCCTGTTAGTTTGCAGTTGGTTGAATAGAAAGCAAAAGCCTAAGTTCATATATCCTTAGGTCTTGTTTTTGAAACTAGTTTGAACAGAGCATTTAGCATGTGTTAACCTGGTTAAGGTGCAGGAAAGATAGTGACACATCCATAAGTGCTTTGCTCAAAGCCATGAACAACAGCAAGGTAGTCGTTTTAGGCTGTGCAGAGCAGCTTGCTTTTCCTGATGCCCTCTGAGGTCTTCTGCCTTCATCTGGGTAGGATGAGCCTTTGGGACCATGGCTGTCACATCAGTGCACCCATCTGCAGCACACAGTGCTGAAAGCTCGGATCTTTGCAGGGTTTCCTCAGGAGGATCTTCTTCCTCTTTCCAAATCATACGTGTCTTTCTAAAGGTCAGACTATCTTAAGAAACCATTGCAGACTGTTCTCAAGTGATTATACATCTTAATTCTCTAAAAATAGAAAAAAAAAAGATGTAGCTCCCAGACGTGCTGGGATGACTGGGGGGCTTTCTTAAGACGCTTTCTTAAATCGCACTCTCTCTCATCATATGAGCTTTTAATTTCTCAGTTCAGAAAAGTATGCAGCACTTCACAGCAGTGCATAGCTGGGCACTTTCAAACCCTGCTTCTTCAGACAAAATATATGAAAGATGACTGTTAACTAAACTTGGCTTAATTAAGTTGACAATTTCACAGCTCCTTTGAACAGCTCATTAACTGCAGGCTGCAGTGTCTTTGCAGCCAAAGCTCCACAATACATCATACAGTGAACCTGCTGACAGAAGGGTACAACTTCCAACACAGGCTTCAAGAAATCAGATTTATTACTGCAGTCCTGCTTCGTCTAAAAACAGTTAAGGCCTCCATTAACAGCTGCTGTAATGTAGTCCTAATTTAGTCGCAATGGTAGCTGCTGGAGGTAACAGACTAAGCTTACTGACTTCAGTTTATCTCGTTGGGTCTCTTCAGCTTGGCCTTGGAACAAGATTTCAAACTGTTTCAAAGAAGTCTGCAAACCTCTGCTGCCCATGATCCTATGCTGAAAGATGCTATTGTGAGTTATGGAGCAAGTATCTAGGGTTTTGTCTCTTGTGTTAATATTGCAATGCTCTGTTCTTAGCACTTGTGATTTCTTACTGACACGGCTAGGGTAAAGCCCTACAAAATTGCAGCAATTCTGATACTAAAGTGCTTGTGACTGTGTGGTTTATGCCACTTGAGAGTAGAAATAAAATGGTATAAGTTCTTCCACAACAGAAGATTTCCCAGTATTTTTTGACATTCTTGACATTTCTGATTTAGGCAAAGTCTTAATACAGCCGAGGCTAGGACTGAACAGAGAATGTTACCTAGCCTGAAAATGTCTGTTGAAGAAGCTGGATTTTTGATAGTACCTTATGTAGTTACAGATACACTGATAGTGGCAGAAAAAAAAAAAAGAAAAATAAAAAAATTGACCATGCTATTAAATTCTAAGATGGGTATTTGCAAACCTTTGGTAAGAAAAGGCATTTTTGGTCAGCAAAGCTGTGTATGCTAGACCAGGCAGCAGAACAAACACAACGGAGCAGTCCTTGAATCAGGACAAATAAGTGATTGTTAATGGCCTTTGTCCTCTGTTGCTGTTTTTGTGCCTTTTAGTGCAGGACATTTTGCTCACTTACTCTAAGTATGAGACTCTTCATTCTGCAATTTCATGTTATTACAGAGAAGTTGAACTCTCAATTAATTGCATTGTTTAGGAGCCAATAGACTGTTAATAATTATCTCATGAAACTGTCCTAGATTTGTGTTGAAGTATGAGACAAATGATTGCTGTGCAGAAGATTCCAATTTACCAGGTATGATTCGATGGCAATTTGAGAGTAAGACGAAAAAGGCAACCTGTGATCCAAACGTTGTGAAGCCACAGCTGCTTCTGCAGAAGGGCAACTCTGCTGGGTTGACCATGTTACTGTAGCATCTGCAGCAGTCTGTAGTTTTTCTTTAACTTGTTCAGTTCTACATAGTAGAGGTTCCTTCCTACAACCTCTTCTACAACACACAGTTTTTAAAAGCCATTCTCCTTCCTTTTACCATTCTGTTCTACCTTTGGCTGCCATTTTTATGTTTCTGTAATTTCTTTTTCACAAGCAATACACCTCATCTCACTGGAAATATCAACATCAGCTTCTCTTTCTTAGTACATCACTTTTTTTTAAGAGAAGATGCTTTAGTTGGGTTAAGGTCTTTAAGGGAGGTCTAACAGTAACACAAACGCTATCCTAGAAATTGTATGGTTTCATATTTTGTTGTTGTTGACAAAGAAGAATAACTGGTAAACAGGTCTCTCCCTGAAATTCTTTATTTTGTATACACAGTATACTGTTAATCATTTGCACCAAGGTCAATAGCCCCTGAAATGCTATTACTATAAATCAGTCTGATATTAGAGGAGTATTTTCACAGTTGTGTACGTGAAATCAGAAACTTCACCTAAAAGGCAGTAAACTCATTTCTGATCTGCCATACAATAAAAATGTTATTTTTCATCAGTTTTCAAAATTGTGGTGCTTTTCTGTGCTTAAAATATTTTCCTTGCTGACATTTTAAATTGTAGGTATGTTTTTGTGTTGTTTAACCAAAATAAGCAACATGTTGTGAGATAAAATAGTTTTTTTTCTTTTTATAGCACAAAGCTTAAATAATTAGCTGATACGTAAATTACTAGATTATAGTTTGCAGATATGAATTTTACTTATTTGAATATGAAGAGAGACTGTCATAAATGGCATTAAGCCTGGACTGGTAGTTTTGTATGATTCAGCTGGTGCTGACACATTTCGTAATACAGCTTAGACAGTTTCCCTCTATTTTTATAACCACATCACTTCAGATATTAGCTCAAAAAGGAGAATAGCTACAGACACAGTTGTGATCAAACTGAACTCTGTTCTGAAATGGAAAACGGTGATTATATGCTGGTGTCTGGGAGCTCCCTGTGGCCTAGTGACGATGGCTCACACCCTTTCCCATGTTGGACTGTAGATTGGAGATAATTACTGATGTTCCCAGACATTTCTTTCCTTGCTGGGAAATTGGTTGGTTTTTTTTCTTTTTCTTTCTTTCTTTTTTTTTTTTTTTTTGCCTTCCTAGTGATCTTGAAAGGCCTTCCCTAAGTATTGAGCCCAAGCTAGTTTTGTGGCAGCTTGCTTTCTGGCAACCACCAAGTGGGAGAAACTTCTCCTCCAGTCACTCCCTGTGACTACCATCTTTACTAGTTGTTATTTTTATGTTTTTCCTCCAACAGCCAGTTATGGTGTCACTAATGTAATTAAGTGCTATTTCATATCTTTCAAAACCTTCAGTGTTTCCTGTTCTTTTTTGCACTTGCCAAGCTGGTGGCCATTCCAGAGGTGCTGGAATGCTTCATGAGTGCCTTCTGGCTTACAGAAGCTATGTCCAATATCTCCTTCTGCAGTCTGTTTTTGGGCTGCCAACTGTTCCTCTTTGGTTTCCTGAAAATGGTGTCAATAGAATGAGGGAAGCCTGGCTGTCATCCTGATTGCACCAAGATGGGAGGAGTTTCGTGTAAGTGGAACTATGCAAGGAAATAGAGTTGTGAGACAAAGTCTCTTGCTTCTGTCTTTGTATCCATACAAAGCTCTACAAGCTGATGCTTGAAGCTTGTAGGGTTAACTGGAATGCTGTTCATACAGCCATGTTCATAGAATCATTGAGTTGGAAGGGACATTAAAGGTAACCAAGTCCAGAGCCCATCCAGCCTGACTTTGCATGTCTCCAAGGATGGGACATCCACCACCTCTCTGGGCAGCCTGTTCTAGTGCTTCATTACCCTTATAAAAACAAAACAAAACTTTTAAAATGATGTTATTAGATGGCTTCAGCTCTTTTTGTTTTCATTTTTTTATTTTCTTTTTCCTGTCAGAGATGACCTCTGTGTGATGACCTCCAGTTTTTGGTAATGCCCATACTGATAACTTTTGGTGCCATGTTAGACTCCACTGTGCGTGCAGTGTAGAGCACAGGTGAATGAACCCTGCTGGCTTGGAAAACAGAGTGCTGAACAAAATGTTCTAGCCGATCTGAAGCCAGCTAGGTGTCAGTGGCAGGAGTGGTCAGAATTGTCATTAATATGACATACAGCCAAGAACAGAAGTGACAGAAAATATTTAATAACAGAAATTAATTTAGGTGATTTTGTAATGTTGCCATAACAAGCTCTGTGAAGTTAGGCTTAGCACAAAGCCCTGGTAGTGTGCATTGGTACAGAAATTTATTTAGGCAGGAGGCAGGTTTGCGTATTATAGGGAAGCTCTTCATTGAGTCAGCAGTCATTTCTTCTACAATTCATAATCTGCCAGTTCTGTCCATGGAAAATAATCCTAAAATTTAATTATTGTGCCTATTTTATTCTTTGTTCTTTACATTTTCTTCGCCTTTTTTATAACTGCTTTCCAAAATGCCTCGCCGCCTATAAACATTAGGCTGCTACATTTTTGAAGCTCATGACAACATTGTTCCATAGATGTGCATCTGCTGGCTTTTGTGGGGTAAACACCCTCCAAGCAGAAACTAAGCAAGCTCAGTCTCTGTGGCGCACTAAGCCCTCATGTGCCTTGGGATCAAGAGTCCCCGCTCTGTTTTCATGTCACTCACATGATGCTGTTTCGCACTTGGCGTACAGCATTGGGTCAGCACTTCCTTGCTTTTTGAGAATGCTTCTCTTTTTAGAAAAAAAAAAGAAAAAGCAATTGCTTGATTCTAACTCCGCTTTGCATAATAATAGCAGCTTTTTAGGGCTAATAAGTGAGTATTTCTAAACTTTCCAGCTCCTTTCCAGGCAAAAGCTAGCAGTGTAGATTACTCAGCAGTAAAAAGAAATACAGCAACAGCAAATAAAGCACAGGAAAACAAATAGTGTTTCTTGGGAAAGGCCTTCATTATTTTTGGAGATTGATTCCTCTTTAAAAATACATTAGGCTGATCACAGTATGCCTTGGCAGAAATTTTTGGGATATGGAAGGATATTTTACTCAGTGACTTGTGGATTTGCATTGCTCAGGCAAGAAGATAAGATGGACAAATAGAAAAATGTTAACTTTGAATGATGTCTAATGGTCAGTCAAGGCTATTGTATAACTTGTCTGCTTCATGACAGATAAGCAACTGCAGTGCAAGGACTACACACATTTATTAGTTTAAAAATTCTCCTTTAGCTTTATCTAAATCGTAGGAGCTTTTTTTTTATTCCTATGACTGAATCTGTGGTAACCTCTCCTGTCCTCACGGTGCAATCAGGGTGCTACTTGAGGGGAAAGAAAAGGAAAAACAAAGGTAAGAAAAATTTTTATAAGACCTGAGAACTGTTTCCAACTTCAATACTTTGAGTGTACCTAGGCATTAGTAGGTCCTTTGACTCTATCTCCCACGGTATTCTCCTGGAGAAGCTGGCAGCTCATGGTTTGGACAGGTGTGATCTTTGCTGGGTAAAGAACTGCCTGGAGGGCAGGGCCCAGAGAGTGGTGGTGGATGGAGTTAAATCCAGCTGACATCTGGTCATGAGCGGTGTTCCCCATGGGTTGGTATTGGCACTGATCCTGTTTAAGATCTTTATTGATGATCTGGATGAGGAGATTGAATGCGTCCTCAGTAGTTAGCAGATGACACCAAGTTGGGAGGAAGTGCTGATCTACCTGAGGGTAGGAAAGCACTACAGAGGAATCTGAACAAGCTTGATTAAAGGACTGAGGCAGCTTATGTGAGGTTCAGCGTAAGCGTTGAGTCCTACACGTTGGTCACAATAACCCTTTGCAGTACTACAGGCTTGGGGCAGAGTGGCTGAAGAGCTGAGTAAAGCAAAGTCACTTTTAAAATAAAGTCAAAAACTTCAGTATTAGTCAACAGCTGGCAGAACATGAGCCATCAGTGTTCTCAGATGGCCAAGAAGGCCTATGACATCCTAGCTTGTATCAGGAATAGTGCAGCCAGCAGGAGGTGGTCATCTCTCTACTTGGCACTGGCTAGACTGCACCTCAAGTACTGGGTTCAGTTCTGGGCCTCTCACTACAAGAAAGACGTTGAGGCCCTAGAGGATGTCCATTGAAGGGCAAAAAGGCTGTGGAGGGTCTGGAGCACAAGTCATGTGGAAAGGGGGTGAGGAAACTGAGATGGTTTAGACTGGAGAAGAGGAGGCTTGGGGTGACCTCATTGCTCTCTAGAACTACCAGAAAGGAGATTGTGGTGAGGTGAGGGTTGGATTTTCTCCTGGGTAACAGCAACAGAATGAGAGGTAATGGCCTTAAGTTGCACCAGGGGAAGTTCAGGTTGAGTGTTAGGAGTATTTTCTTCTCAGAAGAAGTGATAATGCATTGGAACAGGCTGCCCAAAGGCAGTGGTGGAGTCACAATTCCCTGGACTTGTTCAAGAAGAGAGTGGATGTGGCACAGAGGGACATGGTTAGTGGCCGTGGTGGCAATGGGTTGGTGGTTGGACTAGATGATCTTAAAGGTCTTTTCCAGCCTTAATAATCCTATGATTCTATGATTTCAGATATCAAATGTCTGGCTGTATGTGTAAGTTTGGTGTGTTCTGTTCAGTTGAGTAAATTCTATTCTGTATGTGAGTTGTTGGGGAGGACATGCTGCTTTGAGGAAAACTGGTTTAGGAAAGAAAACAAATTGTGGAACTAATATAGCTGTAGTGCCATTTTGTTTGTGTTCATGTAGAGTAGCATGCAGCTTATGAAGAGATCTTTATAATTGTTTTTGATAACCAGTCCAAAAAAAATGTGGAAGGAATTAGCACTAACAAGAAACTCCATCTTGAAATGTCGACTAACAGAGATAAGGATCATCTTTTCCTGTATGTTTGTAGGGCTGATGTACAGTTCAGCGCTTGTATAACACAAATGTACAAGTGAAGTAAAAACGGTGATGATGTCAAGAACTGAATTCTCTGTTCATTCGCTCTCTACAGTGACGTGCTTCTCTTAAGACTTAAACTCATTTACACATGAGGAGAGAGCAAGAGTTGTATGTTGAATTAGAAATAGTTTAGTTTAGAAATAAATGGTTTGTTCTTCTGCTGGCATAATCAGTGACAGTGCCAGGTTTTAGTGTTTCAGTTATGTATATTGAAAGAGAGAATTGGCACTAAAGTTATCAGACTGCAGTTATCAACTCGAGGTTTAAAAAAAAAAAATAAAAATCAATCAATCTTATAATATCCAAAAGAGCATATTGCTCATTTCTGTATGCATGGCTGTTTTTATAATCAAATGCAATTTTAATCCCTGATGTCTTAATGTTTAAAAAAAAAAAAAAAAAGGAGATGAAAGAATCAAGACAATCTATGCTTGCTGTGTTGTTTTCTGCATCTGATTTTGCAACCGCAATCTTCAGTAAATGGCGTTGCTCTCCCTGTGGTTGCCCAACTGACGTCAGTGGTGGCACCGCAGGGGGTGGACAGCAGTGGAGCCCTCCCATGGAAGGACACATGATGCTGAGGACAGCTGGAGGCTTGCCAGACAGCTTTGCACTCTCTCATAGAAAATGACTTTCTTAACCTGTTGCGTTAAGCCTGAGAGAAATGAACCGATCTACCAGAATAAAGTATATCCTGATATTTGAAACCAAAATATTTTTGGTGGTTGCTGAATTGAGTATCTCTCAAGAAGCTTGATATGCTAAACCAGAACTAGATAAAATGCTCTGACTGCTATTCCTGCAAAACCAAAACCAGGGGGCAGTTAACCCCAACCCTAAACAGCAGGCTTTGCAATGTTGCTGTTTGATGCTGGATGCAGCAATCCCTTGTGCTTCTCTGGGGCTCAGCTGGCCCCAGCATGGGCTGGGAGCCCCAGCACAGTGATTCCAGGGTAGCCCCAATGCTTGAAGTGATAGGTCTAGCAGTTAGGAAATAAACAGCAGTTACAAAATGATTAAAGTCCTTGGGTTTTCTTTAATAAGATCTTGGACTGTAAGTGAAGGAATCATCTGAAATAGGTCTTGATATTAAGATATGCAAAAGTATGGTCTACGCTGAAACTTGAGTTCTTGGAACAATTACTTTCTTTCCTGCCTGAAAGAGCTGTGTCAAGGTGTGCTCTGAGAAGGCAGTCCCTGATGGCTGGCTGAGGTGCCAGCAGGCCTCCTGCAGCGGAGCACTGACCTCAGAACGGCCCGGTGCCCTGGGGAGAAATGGTATTTATTTAGCTTTCACATGATTAAATTGGGATTAAGTTGGATATGTAAAAGACTGTCCTGTACCTCATGCTCTCAGCTCAGATATTAAGTAACTGTTTCCTAGGATGTAGAATGAAATGTTGACAGGGGCCAAAGCACCTTGTTCTTTTGTTTCCAGGGAAGCGAGATCCAGATGTAGAGAGTGTTGTTCTTGGGAGCTGCTTTGTACAGCTTCATCCTTCCTCAGCTGAGCCAGTAAAGAAATCTGAGGGTAACTAAAGGGCAGAGGTACAGCAGTAATATGCAGAGGAACATGGCTCCCCAGGGAGGTGGTTGAGTCACCATCCCTGGATGTGTTTAAAATTTGCTTGGATGTGGTGCTCAGGGACATGATTTAGCAGTGGGTTGTTAGAGTTAGGGTAGTTTGGTAAGGTTGTGGTTGGACTTGATGATCTTTAAGGTCTTTTCCAACCTGAGCAATTGTATGATTTTGTGATTCTACGAAATGACCAGGCCATCCTGGGTAATGGAAATTGGAGAACTGTGAAAACACGGGGACTTATTGGTGCAACATGCTGTGGGAATAGAAGCGCGCCATTTCCAGTACTTCAGGGAGGTAAGTTGGAGCTAGCTTTGATACTCACTGCCTGAGTCCTGCTATGTAGGCCTCCACACAACAAGTTGAGGAGATCACACCTTGGATGAGGTTGGGCAGGTGCCCAGAGCCCCTTCTGTTCGGTGCAGCCTGGCCAAGGGCTCTGACCATGGCATTGGATTGTCCCTGGCAGCACGGGAGGAGGCACGGCCCTGCAGGGCCTGCCAGGAGCTCACTGAATCCCAGTGCCTGGGGAGTACAGCATGCCGGAATCCTGTCAGCAGGCCTGTGAGAGTCTTTTCTATGTTTCATCTTGTGAAGAAGGGTAAATTGTCTCATGTGCTGGGCAGCAGCAGTCTAGGGTGCACCAGGGCAGGCTTAGGTTCTTCAGAAAGTTGCATCTCTTCTTCCACATCTCTTGTCTCTTTGATTGCTCTTGTATAACTTTGACACGCCTCAGTGCCTGCAGCAGTGTGTGCAAATGGTGAACAGAGGCTGGCAGAAAACAAGCAGGGCGGGCGGCTGTCCCACAGTGGAATTGTTTCCAGAAGTGACTCTGTAAAAATGACAGCAGGAGGTTCTTACACTTGTTCTTTCAATCACTTTCAGATAAAACTCTGCTTGGTTTACAAGTCACAAGGTGATTTTTCTAACAGTCAGTATTTCAAACTCTCACATTTGGGTTTGACAATCAAGCTGTTTTCTGTCTGAATCTTACTTCATTGCCAGTAATAAAAATTCCAGCTCACTCAGCCATGGTAATATTGGTTTTGCAGAGCTAACAGTAGTAAAAGCTTGTTTTTGTCAGCAAAGTTAACAAGATTAAGTCTCAAAGAAATGCCACCAAGACAACTGATGTATAGGAAAGTGCTTTCTTTTGTTGGTGACTCGGACCAAGCTCTACTGAAACGACAAGGAGCTTGTTTCAGCAGCACCAGGTTTTGCTCATTGTCTTGCCTAGGCAAAGGAAAAAAGATCTCACTTCAGAAGTGTCGAGGTTTATGCATCTTGCTCTGTCTCACTGACTACTGCAACATGATTATTCCTGGCTATAGGACACACTTCCTCTCTTTCCTTGGTTTATTGCCAGTATTTGAATCTCGGAAATTAAATCATATGTTATCATCAAGCAGATTTTTTTTTTTCACATGGAATTTTGAAAACTCTAATTAATTGCTGATGGGATCCATTCTTCTTCTTTGTCCTCCGTTTCTTATTATTTCCTTACTTCACTGGTGTCTGGCAATTTCTGTTTTTATTTAATCCTTCATAGAGTTGACAACTTCATTTTGAAAAAGAAGGAAATGATACCTTAAAAGAAAATGCCAAATATATCTGCTTAATTGTCATCTGTTTACTCTGCAGTCTGACGGCAGAACTATCTGTCTTCCCAGCCTCCTGCTGATTGTCATTTTCTTGCTGTCACAAAGATTATCAACTTACAAATGCCCTGTGAAGTCGGAATGCTATTTCACAATCCTGTGCTCATTAGTCCTGTTAGCAAGTATCCTGTTATCTTCTTTCCTTTCACCCTTAGCTTTCAGATGTGAACATGACAAGTATTTTATAGGACCATAAAGTTAAAATTCACAGTTTGGGGCAGTGTCTTTTGAAGATAGAGAAAAACCATATCAGTTGAGGAAATGTTGCCACAGAAAAGGGATGTGGTCCCCCTTTGATATGCCTCGATCTTCTGTTCAGAGGAGTTGCGGCTAGGCTTTTCCAGCTGCTGTCAGAGATGTCTCTTGGCTGTTCAGTTGCAGCACTTGCTTGTGGTGCTACAGAATGTGTGGGAATTGAGTATGCCAGCCTAGGCAAGAGCAGAGCGTGTGCAGTCTGTCTTGTATTCTGCAAACTACATTGTCGACATTGAAATCTGTGGTATCCTTATTGAGAAAGTAAAATGTAGCTCTGGTTTTGGTGGACCTGCTGCTTGGTCACTTGTAGCATAGTCCCATGAGTATCTTATGGAAAATGAGCGGTGTCTTGGTTTGCTTTTCCTGACTGATTCGTTTTCCATTTAACCAAATGCAAAGGGACTTTTCTAACAACTAAATCACAGAATATCCTGAGTTGGAAGGGATTCAATCATAGAGTCCAACTCCTGGCTCCATACATGATCACCCAAACTTCAAACCTTATGTCTGAGAGCATTGTCCAAATGCTCCTTGAACTCTGCAGGCTTGGGGACATGCCCACTACCCTGGAAAACCTGTTTCAGTGCCCAAATATAGTGTGCCTTGTGCTGGAGTATATGGAGAGCAGGTAGGAGATCGAGATGTGGGGGGGGAAAAAATCTGATGCTGCTGATTTGGGTGGGAGCAAGATCGTGTCTGGTGTCTGGCTAGTGGATGGCTGTGCATTTTGCAGTCTCCTCAGAAACCAATGAAGGCTCCTCTGGTGGGGCATGTTTCAGTGGCTCTCAGGTATTTGTTGTGTGGAGTGCCTGAACTCTTCAGTCTCAAACCTTGTTAGAAGATAGACACCCACGTCTTGTTTTGGAGTCAATGTACTCATTAATTAGAAATTCAAGTGAGCGTTGAACTGCTCCCAGCAGATTATTTCTGCTGTGATCTGCCTTCTTCCCAATACGTTAGTTCTGCTAAGAACCTGTGTCACCTCCTGCTGGAGTTCATGTCCTGCCTTCACAGACTGCTCATTCTGCTTACTGCAAGAGGACCATGTCTGGTGGGCAGCACTGCTCACAGTGAGGAGCCCCATGCTGGGCCCGTGTTGGAGTTGCTTCCCAGCTATCGACTGCAGGGTCCGGCCTGTCTCTCCCCATTTGGGGCAGGAAGCATCATTCGGAGGTTATTTTGCCTATGAAGTTTGTACTGGGGAGGCTGTTAGTCCTTGCTGTTGATTCTAAGCCCTGAGCAGATCAATAGCGAACGCAGGAACATAAACAAAACCAAATTAGACACTGCCAGTTTGAGGTTTCCCCCTCTGTGGGGCCCTTGTGGTTCATGGGCTCAAGCTGTGAATCAAGGCGACTGTGTTGCCACAGTGATCTCTTAACCAATGGCAAGTGTTTCGTTCCTTGGGTTCAGCATGGCGATTTCATTAAGTTCAGCACAGGAACGTGATTTACTGCGATCTTTTTGGCACCACTCGTTTTTCTTGTGGAGTTATCGACTCAAAGGCTCCAGTGTCCAGGTTCTGTGGGAGGTTTGGGTCTTTTTCTTTCTCTTCCTTGCACCAAACGTATTTGTGTGCCAGGTGTAAAGTTTTGGGGTAGCTAGTGTGATTTTTCTCTTGAGAAGCTTATACAAAACAGATTTTGCTCTTATCATTTTATAGCTTCTGTCGGTTACACACAGAGCCCCTTTCAGTTTATATTTGCCCTATGCCTCACAGCAAAGATTATTTCTTTCTTCCGTCTTCTTTCCCTAATCTGTTTGTTTGTTCCTATATATTTCTGCCATAGTTTAACTAAAGCTGGGAGTTCAGTGCAGCTTTGTGGCTTAGACTGCTTTGTGCTTCTGTGCAAACTGCCCCTTCGTGACACTCAGTTTACTGATACCCTTCCTTTGGAAAGTGGACAGACACTATTTGCAAGAATTTTAGAGCTGCAGGAGGGGATACCTGTTGCTCTTCTTCCTAAATCATTACAGAAGACTACTCCTGCTGAAAATCTGCAGGCTCCCATAAATCACCAGGGTGAAAAAAATCTTATTTTAATATGCATAGTGATATGCATCTCTTCTGATCAAGGTCCTGGTTCTTTTGTTTTGTTTTCTTACTGAGTTAAAACATGAGTACCCAGTGTTGATTTTGGAGATAACATTTTCTGGGTAGAACAGCAGAGTGCCACTTGTGATGATCCGTACCAGTGTACAAATACTCTGAATGCCTTGGCTCTTCCTTCTGATGCATCTATGCTTTCAGTATTATTCAAACATAGAGAAGTTAATAAAAATGGACAACATAGATACATCTTCAGTTTTTTACTATACATTTTTAGGTAGCTCTAGGCATATACTGCAAATGAGTTGTGGTAGACTTTCAACTGTTCTGTCAGCTAGGGCCACTTGCAGCAGAGGGGAGGAAGGCTGCCAGGCACCTACTGCTTTAGCTGCCATGGAGAGCAATTCATAGGCCAAATGATGGTAGGTTTGAGGTATTAGAAGATGAGTTTATTAAATTAAGCTTCTGTAGTGTTTCTAGTCAGGGACGTGAACGTGGCTCTTGAGCTATTTGGAAAAAGAAAAAGAGAAGGAATAGTTAGTAGTAAACCAAATAAATAAATAAAGTCAGCAATTTGGACATGAAAAGCTGTTTTCTGGCCTTTGCAACCTGGGTAAACTTTTGTGGGTTGAGTGTTCTTGTTTGTACATGAGGCTGATTATTGTGAGCCCTCTACCCAAGATTGCTGGGCTGTGTCAATCACATAGGGATCTAACAAAAAAATGGCATTCTGCAGCCAAATCCAGTTTCTGATGACTCAGTTGGTAGGGTGTGCAGCCAAGATATGTGCCCTTCAGTGACATGAAAACCACAGTCGCTTGTGGAATATAGGGTTCTTTTCCTTTCCATAAAGCAAGTGGAGCAAAAGAGTTTGCAAATATGGCATATTTTCTAGATAATAAACTTGAGTTTTAGGGCACGCCATGAAAAAGGATCACTTTAAAGAAATGTCACTAAGAAAAATAAAGCAATTTTTTAAGTGCATCAAGTTGGGTCAAGTTCTTACATACACAGAGAAGGGATGCAAAGTGCCAGCATGTTTTGGTTTAGTAAGAAACTGGCTTAGGAAAAAAGTTAACTTGTAGGAAAAAGGAAGGCAAAAGAAGGCAAGGCTGTGAAATCTGTTTGTTCTGTCTTAAAGTCGTTCAAAACTTACTCTTAACATAAACCAAATTTTGTGTTGAAACTATTGTAGTGAGAATAAGAAATGGTAAGCTGACATTTCTTCTGAGCAGAATATAATTTTATTTTATAGCAGGTCTGAGATTTAAAGCAAAACGAACTTATATCTCCTATGCCTGAATATTTTTTTCACTATCATTTGATACCAAAAAGATTTAAATCATAAAATAGTACCTGGATAATCTCCTCCTCCAGATAACCTTTAGAAAAGCAGCAGCATGAATGGGCTGGGAAGGAGCAACCCAAAGCGGGACAGCCAGGAGAGAATGTGTAAGGGGAGGGAGCTGAGCATGCCCTGGGTCTGCACGTCACCATGCAGGTGCTGAACTGCATGTTGACTGCAGAGAACTCCAATTTATCCCACAGAAGTGTGCCAGTAGACTTGGGAGCACTGTCTGATGCAACATGAAATAAGTGACGCTCAGACCTTTCCCTCTGCAAGCAAAATCAGTAGATTGGATGGGTATGCCAGGAATGAGCCTACTTGGATGTGTCGTCGTCTTCAGCAGACAGACATCATTCAGTCATTGGTTGGAGGTGCTCTGTGCTGCAAAGGAGAGGCTCAGCAGTTGATAAAGTGGGACTGCAGTTGTAATGAAGCTACTTTTTACATTTTTAGATTAAAAAAAATAAGTTTAAATAAGTTTCTCCAGAGAAATAGCATCTGTCTCTGCTGATAAGGAGAAACGTAATTTTAATCTGTGGTAATTCTAATCCATGCATGGACAATAGTATTTAGAGATGGAAAAAATTAAGTTTTTGGGAGGAGCACAAAGGTACCAAACCTTTGGCATCTCAGTAGAACCCTGAGACAGCTGGAGTCTTTTCATTTATTTTTATCTGTGTTAGAGGTATATTCTTAAACCCTGTGTTATTTTCCTTTAGGGGAAAAAAAAAAAAAGAAAGAAAGAAAGAAAGAAGGAATTCTTCTTTAAGGACTGTGAAATCAGAAACAGAAGCTCATGCTACCTGGCCGAGTAGAACATTTCTGAAGCTTTTTTTGTTGTGTTTCTGTCGTCTTCCCCCATCTCCTATTGCATGTTTTCTGTTGTATAATTGTACATATTTCTACTCAAAGCCAGGCAGCTTCTCAGCAAAAATTGGACTGACTGAGCGTCTTAGTTTCTTAAAACAGTACATTCTGGCATAACTTTTTTCTTACTTGTCTTCTGAGCTGTCAGCAAGGGAGATTTAAGAACTTCCAGCGGAGGTTTAAATGTCTGGCTTTCTGAAAACATTGCAGCTCACCAGTTGTGTATGTAATTTAGGACTTGCTGGTGCTCTGTAACAAAATCTTAGACTATTTATTTCCCTCTTTCTAACATTAAAAGAATATTTTTGAGCATGGAACTGTAACATCTTTATATACAAAGCTCTGAAATTTATAGTAATTTGTGGAGTTCGTTAGCTACCTCCACAAGTCTTATGGAGACAACCAAACTGTAATTTTTAACAGCCGTGCTCTTTAAAGCATCAATTTTTAAATTCACTTTTATCTTCTGAAGTTTCTAACCATCCTGTTTATTTTAGAGCCTTCAGGGCTCTCTGCTAAGACACTATTAAAATAATAATTCTGATGGCTTGGGTATCTGGATAAGGGTTATGGCTTAAAAAAAATCCTGATTTTTAAAACAAGGGATGTTACCTAATCTTTCCCATATGGACGTTTTGAAAATGAAAAATCATTTCTTACATTGTAATTCTTCAAATGCGGGTAACAGCAAAGCTGTGAATTTGCAAAACCAGCTGAAATGAAATGACGAATCCTGGCACGCGTTGCCATTGCATTAGCTGATAGCGCCTGCACTGCTGTCCAGAACTTCGCTTTCGAAGTCTTAAATACAGGCAGCAATAAAGGCGTTATATAATGCAGTGTTAGTCAAAAGGAGCAAAGGGAAATATCCAGAAAATACTGCCTATAGGAAATGAGTTAACAAGTGAGTTTTATTTCTTAACCTATGACTTCTGACATATTTTGGTGATACCAGAATATTCTGCGCTTTATGGAACTGTGATATGGGTAATTAATGTTGTCTTCTTGTGCCTGTATTCTTTTCAAACAGAAACAACCAGACAATGATATGCTTGCTTTTCCTCATACAGTCTTTATTCACAGTACCTCCTGCTTGGCTTATGGCTTCCTGTGAGCGAAGTCTCCTTTGTGCCATGTGTCCATGGGAAGCACGCAGGCAATGCAAAGAGCGATGGGGCAGTAGCCAGTATCTTCCTGGTAGTGCTTTTGTGCAGCTCTTCTAAGCCAACCTGCTCTCCTGTCCTGTGTAAAGACTGGGGAGAATTTGCAGTGCTGCAACCAGTAGGGTTCAACTGACTTGACTTTAAATTAACCCAGGCCAAAGAAGATGTAATTCTGTAGGAATTTGTTTGATGGTGGAGTTTGTAGAGTCTCTTGCTGTAAATGTTTCCTAACACAGTACGCTAGCAAGCCGTCTTACTTCTTTATATTGTTATTTGGTCAGACTTCAAGCGTTGACTTTAATTTGCCATTCAGGGCTCTGCCTCGGGCCGCATGTGTTTGCGCTTGGCTGTGTGTGAAATCCCCAGCCCAAAGAATTTCGCTGCTCACAGGAGCAGTTCCATTAAAACAGACTAATTTGGCCCACCTTGAAGCCCTGAAACTGGTGATAACCTGTCATAGCTTGGGTCCAAGAACTTGACCGTTTGTTGTAGCTGGGGTCTGGGCTTGCCTGAAGAACCAATGGGAGCCTTTGTGGAAGAAAAACTTTGAGGGAGAATTTCTTATTGATGGTTAGCTCTCTTTACTAGTTTTGTTTGTATTAATAATGAGACTGTAAATATTTTTCTATCATATAAATGGTGTTGACTTTAGATGGGAACAAGTGGTGTTTACAGTGGGAGGAGAAAATTAACATCAGATTATTTAATCAAGGCAGAAATTGCAGCATGTTGTACATTTTGGAAGGTAAGCTGCTTGCAGAATAGGGAGAAAATGCAAAAGAATTAAAAATAATAATAATCACGTTTGTGTTGAGTTCCACTAATGCTTGAGAGTGATGTGCACAATGTAATTATAAAAGTGTGATGTTACCAGGAAACATAATTTATTACTTTTTATGGCCATCAATAAAAAAATAAAGGCCATTCTGGATGTAAATGTGCAGATACAGTGACCGCGATGTTGCAAGCCTCATACTTACAAGTAAACTGAAATGCTGGTAGACAGAAAGTTATTTTTAAAGTTCAGTAAGTTCTGTTTTTCCATTGTTTAGAAATACCCAAAGGAAATGGCTGCATATAATGGATTAACAGTTTATACATTTTCCTGTCCACAGCTGAAAAAAAATAAAATGAAATACTGGCATGTGGAATCTGAGCGCTCAGTATCCAGCTATAAATTGCACAGTCTTTAATTTGTAGTAATCATCATATCTTCTCCAAGTATTTCTAGCCTGTTCTCCTTTATGGGACTGTGGACTCCTCTTGTCAAACTGTATTGCTAACTGGTAGCAAATGGAACTGGATTTATTAAACTAACAGTTTATTAAGATGTCATTAAACTATTACAGTCAGATGCCAGATAGGGAGCAGTTAGAATTGTCTTAATATGTTTGTTGGAGCTGCGGGCTATTCTCAGCTTGGGAGCTCATTTTTATACATTCTGTATTTTGAACACCATCTGCCTCTCAGCCCTCCTTATTTTCACCCCATCCCTTTCCCCCAGACCAAATTCTCACCAACCAAAGCACCCCAGAAGGCAGCCTGCCCTTTGGCTAGCTTGCTCCTTGCTGGGACCACAGAAAATTAGAGGACTCTATAGAGTCAAAATCGGAAGGCTTTTTTTTATTATTATTAATTTTTTAAAATTGAGCTCGGAGAAGAGCCTGATTAGCATTTCAGACTTCATTTGGCTCCAGCGATTTGGGCGTGCTCCCATTGCCCTAATTAGAAGCAGCCCTGGGCGCTGGCTGCTGGGAGCAGGGAGCGATGGCCCCGCTCCTGCCTTCGTTGGGGCAGAGCCTGCTGCAGCCCGCGGAGCTCGCTGGCAAAGCAAGCCTGGTGGTGCGGTCTGCTGGAGACCATGTTGGATTTATATAATGCAATAATTGTGGAGCGAATACGGCTCGTTCCCTTTTTGCTCCTTGTTTTGAATGCTTCTCTTCAGAGTGTTTGAGCATTTTACGGAGACCTTTCGGTTGGCTGGCAAAGGCAGGACAGCATCCCTTTCTATAAATGGAATAATAATCGCTCTGTGCGCTGGCCAGCAGTGACCAACATCTGGGTCCTGGTTATCGGTTATCTTTTAATCTCAAATATGTGGAACATCTTCCTTGTCAGTTGCTCTTTGCCAGGGCCCAAAGCATAGTCAGGAGGTAGAGCTGTTGACTGTGTGCTCCTTGCCTGGAAAGCAGGGAGGAATACGGCAGCACAAAGTGAGAGCAAATGAGGATGGTGTTCTGACCGCACTAATAGGCTCTTCAAGAACCAGGAATTTGCCTCTTGCTCAACTGTAGCATTTTTACCTTTGGATGTTTTGAAATAAATAGAGAATAAAGAAAATGTGTGAACATATTTTAGATGCTAAAAAGAAATGCATTGCAATGCACAGCAAAAGGTGCTGCAGGATGGTGAAAGTAGGTGAGATCCGTACAGGAGGGGAGCGTCTGGGTTTCGCTCTCCGCCCCAAGGCTGAGAAGGGCTTTGCCTCTTTGCCATGGAAAAGGATGATGGGGAAGACTTCTGTGTCTCTGTAAACAGAGGATGATGGATTCTCAGAAAGGAGTAATAGTGACTTGAATGCAACCCATGTTTTATACTGAAAATCAATCATTGCCTGAAAAGTCAAAGCAATAAAAGCAGTAGTTTGGTAACCCAGCCCTGATTCATGGAGGATTTGAGTTCTTGTAAAAATGGACTTCTAATTAGTTAATGAATTTTGGTTGGAATATGATCTGATGGCATTCCCCTGTTGGACTTTGCAACTTCGTATTTTGGGGCTTTCTCTTGCAGTAGCAGGATTTGGGTGCTTATCAGCAGTCAGGTGATTTTTTTTGTTACCAGCTGTGTATCGGTGTAACTAAATTGTTCTCCAGCAGCATTGGCAGTCACGTACCAGCTCTTTAAAGAAGAATGTTGATATAGTGCAGCCTAATTTAATGGGGAAGGATGGAATATTTTTATGTTTGATTGCTAGCACCTAAAAAAGAGAAAGAAAAACATTTGAAAGGCCTGGCCTTTCTATACATGACTTTTACCTTAATCTTGAGGGAGGGGGAGGCTGGGAAAGCAGAGTTGCCTTCTGCAGTTATGATAAACAGACATTTATCAAGGATGGTCTGCCCACACGCTAGGCTGTGGGAGCCCAGGGCATCGCATTTCAGGTGAATAGAGCTCTTACTTAGGGCTCTATCCCACAGAAAATAGTTGAGGTTTTTCAGTCTGTATGAGCCTAAAATATGCAGATTTCAGCTTGCCGGAGACTGACCAGTGTGAGGGGAAGATGCGGAAGTCTGAAGTCAATGCTTCAGTGCCATCAGCTCAGGTCTGGGGATGGCACTCTCGGAGACCCCCCGGCACCATCACCTCTTCCCTCTGGAAGGTGCTCGTGTCTCTCAATGCTCTGAGTAGGCCAAGTGTCCTGAAAGGTGGGAAGGAGACCGAATACAGGAATGTAAGCATGGAAGAAATGGAGGCCAGAGCTGATCAGAAATTCTAAAGAATGTGTTTAGAAAGGAGGGAGAAAACTGAGTGTATCAAATGTGTATATATAGCTCACATGAAAAATAACAAGCCCAGGATTTGGCAGCCACTAAAAGAAAAAGAAAAAAAAAAAGAAATAAAAAAGGAACATTTCTATCCCAGCTTTGGTAGAGGAGGGACCCCAAACTCTCCATCTTTAAGGCTGCAGAGCACACACACTGTTTTTGACTATTTGCCACGAGTTGCTTTTTCTTCCTCTTGTGGACTGGCAGCTATGGAGATTCACTTCAAGACAGATAAAAACTTTAGGAAGTGTGGCTGCTTTTTGTTTTAGCTCTAAATCTATTTGCACGGGAAAACAGTGGAAAAAATCCTTCAATTCAGAGATAACGAAGTGTTCTGTTTAGAAGATGAAACCAATGTTAGAAACTGAAGAGATGAATTATCCAGTGAGAAAAGTTTTTTTTCAAGGAAATTCAACTATGCTTTAGTAGTGGGGAGTTCTGACAGCCTGCTGGGCTGAAGCAGATCTGGTGTGCTCTAGAATCTGTGTTACTAGAAACCAAATGGCTGAATGATTTAATGTGAACAATCTTATATATATTATAGCCATCATTAAGATACGTCATTCTTTAGAATGTCACCAAGAACTTGTCCCGAATAAAGCCTCCTGCTCTTTATCATGCTGATCGATGCTGAGTTATTTGCATTTCAAATAAACGAGTAGCCCAAGGACAGCTAGAGAACAGGAGTTAGCAAGGACTGGTCTGTGAAGTGCTTTGTCAGGTGATATCTTTTTGTGCTTACAGATACGCATTTATGTTGATGGGTGACATGGCAAGGCTTTCATTTGCTCTTGATTTATGTATCTTTTTCCAAATAATTCAGAATACCATTATTACGGTTGCTGCGAAGGTCGCGCTGTTACAATGAGAAGAAAGGTGAGATTTTGGTCAAGGAGGATTGTACAGCGGTGCCTTTGGCGGAGTGATTTTACTAACTAAAGATCAGACTGTGAACTCCTCAGGGTAAAGACTTTCCTCAGTATTTGTACAGTGCCTCACAGAATGAGCTCTGGCGTGTGGTTGGAGTCCTTGGGCTCCAGCACAGCACAGCAATGAATAAAAGGTAAGTAAGGGGCAGCTGGACTGGTTGGCTGCCTTGGGAAATCTCAACTCCTGTTTTATGGACGTGTTTGCTGGAATTATTTGGCATCGGCCTCAAAATGAAGTGCTTCAGTTTGCCTAAAGGAGTTCTGCTTCAGTTGCTCTCAGAATGGAACGTAAGGCTGAGATCCTTCCTAGGCTGCACACAAGCCTGTGTAAAAGTTGGCTTCGGAGGTTAACAGTGTTACAGTTACTGCTCGACATATTGGAAATCCAAGTGTAAATTTATAAATCAGTGCAAAATGCTTTCTGTACCTCATTGTGCTTGCTGTTGATTTTTTTTCTGGTATCTCTAGTATTGCCAGCACATTATTACTTTTAATTCCATGCAATTAGAAGACATGATGAACTGAGACCCAAAGCTACTTGCCTTTGCTTTCTACCATAAATGGTAAGATGGAAAACAAGACTTAATTTTGGTTAGCTTTAAAAACAAGATAAAAAATAGGTGATACAGCAACAGGAAATGCAGTTTTGAAGTGCGGTTTTCGTTGACTGAGATGCAGTTACATGGCCAACCTCCAATAAATTGGAGAAGACTGATGAGTTTAATGCTGCTGTAGCTGTGACTTGCTAGCAAAAGTGCCCTGACCCACGTGGGATTTGCTTCCTACCTGTGCACTCGTTCTGTATTGGAAAACTCTGTTAGCAGTTCTCTCCTAACCATCACTTGATCCACAGCCTGTTCAGATGAATGAATCCATTCAGTGAGTGCAGGAAGTATATTGTTAAATACTGCTCTGGAGTAACGGAGATTGGGCTGACTCTGAGCTGCCTGTTTCTTTTTGCCACAGACGCTACATACTAAAGTTAGATAGATTTGTTTGTTTTAAATCAAAATATAGCTCTTCTTTCTTCCAATATGGGACACCTGGCTAAAATGTAAGAAAAGTAATCATTCAGCCCTTGCTGAAGGCAGCTTTCAGTATGTCTTTCAATAGGAGTCTTTAGGTTGAGGGAGGCAAAATGTTTGTGGGGATGCTTAGGAAGTGCAGCAGCAGGATGGAGTTCAACAGGCAGTCACAAGGCAGAAGAATTTATATATGATGACTTCATTTGTTCTGAGCATTTGGGAGTGAATCCTAAGGTCAAATCTATTTTGAGTCTGAGAAGCCTCTTGTCAAGCGCCTCATTTTGCACATGGCTGATCACTTTTTGGTGGGTGCTGTGTAGCTGCATCTCCAGCTGCTCCCAAAGGGAAGCCCAGCATCCAGCCATGGTGATTGCCTTTCCTCATTGCTTCCCCACTTTGTAATTCTGCCTGGTGTCCGGTTTGCTGTCCTTCCACACAGTGGCACCAAGGCAGAGGTATGGATCTGAGCTGGTGAGAAATGTCACTTCCTGGATGTCGCTGCCCTTTTTGCTTCTCCTCTTTCCCACTGCAGCTGCTTTGGGCAAGCAGAAAATGCGTGGAGGTGCCATCCACCATTGAAAGCTTTCTGCTGCTGACAAGGGGTAAACCAGACACAAGCCTCACAGCAACTTCCGTGGGTAGGAAGTTGTATGAATGAGACAGCGGATAAATTTGTCCACAGCAGTGGACAACAACAGGGTGCTCAGCGGAGCTGGGCTTGGCTGTGGCAAATTAGGCACTCCTTTTTTCCCTTCAGGTTTTAGTGACAGCTTCAGTGTTGTCCCAAGCATTTTTGCTATTTTGAGAGTGAAAAAGAGAATAGAATGGAGATGGGGAAAGAAAAAAAAAAAAAAAAGGAAATACACTCTATTGGGAAGTGTCCTCTTTCAAGTTGCTGATGGAGCTTTTGTCCCTTCAGCAGCAAGTTGTAAAGTCAGGTGTGTGCCTTTGTTATGCTATAAGGCTTCCTGTGAGTTTTGCCATTGCCCCTATCAAACCATATATTTTGAGCACGAGTACTGCTGTAAAATATTCATAAAGGCTTTTCATCTCAGCTGCAGGTCACTTTGTTACCTTGTGTGCTGTGAGTGGGTTTGAGGTGGTGCTGGGAGCCAAACTTGTTCTATGTCATTGAGTGTTCTCAGGGTGTTTGTGCATGATAGAAGCTCTGTCTGTCAAAAATGCCTATACCGTGTACTGAGTCAGAACCATACAGTGTAAAATATTTTATCTATGGCCTATTAGAAAACAAAGAGCCAATAAAAATAGAACATCTTTTATCCTCCCCTTCAACAAAAGAGGCCATCCAGCCACAGAGATGCGGTATTATTGTTTTCAGTGGAGTGATGTAATACTAAATCAAGGGTCATCAGTGTCCTGACAGCACTTCAGCAGCCCCAACCCTCACTTTAAACCTGCATATTTTGCAGCAGGTTGTGCATTTAGTCCCTCAGCTCAATTTGAATTGCAGAGGATTTTCTGTAAGCAGGCCTTGAAAAGTTGCACAGGGATTGGAATTGCAGGAATAGCTTTTTCTGCTAATTCTGCCTGCCCTGACCAAGGAAGGGTGGTAAACATCTCCACAACTAAATGCCAACCAGGAACAGTTCCACTGTTGCTGGTTCAAACTACTTCATGTGCTTTGAAAACCTGAAAGCTTTGACAGGGTGCTTACTATGAACTGATGCCAAGCAGTGACTAAACAATCTCATTAAAAATGCAAGGTAACTGAAGCAAATATTTCCTTTGAAGAAGCACTATCAGTTAAGTACTCATTTCCTCTTTTAAGTCTTAGATTAAAGCGGCAGAGACAGGTGGGCTGATAAGAGCAAGATAAGGCTTGTTGAGTTAGTTTACCAGCTAATTTGGCAAAAAAAGCAGTCTTGTTTCATGCAGTTTTAAGAGCTTGTGTTTGTTATACGAGGCATCAACTGTCTAAATATCTAGTGTAATCGTGAAATGTTTTTGTATGCACAGGTAACCTGATATATTTACATATTTTCCACAAGATGTAATACTGCTGAGATAAGATCTCACCTACATAGTACCATAACCTCTGATACTAATTCCAAGCTCCTAGCTAGACTTCCCTCTAACAACAGCGAACCCAGGCCAGCTGCAGTAATAATGTTTGTCTCTGTATTCCTAGAACTGCTCCTGAACATGGACATACTTGGTGATAGCCCAGAATTCGGCTCTTCTGTAGGCTCTACAAACAGATAATAAAAAAAAAAAAAAAAAAGCAAAAAAACACCTCACCTTACATGGGTCTGCTGTGTGTTCCAAAGCAAGTCAAACATACATTTTCTTAACATTAATGGACAGGATGGATTTTTTTTGTGTGTGTGTGTGTTTAGTGTGACATTCAAGCTCCTATCTGTGCCAGTGACTTGACCTAAGAGAAGGAGGTCCTTGGACAAGAGCAGTACAAGAGCCCTCGTTCTTGTGCATCTTTGCTCCCTGTAAGGACTTGGTTTATGAAGCGCTGTTGGGTACCAGTGCAGCTGATGGGATTTGTGAATAGCTTTATGATAAGGTGAGCGAAATGTCTGACACCCCAGTACAGAATATGCTTGATGTGTAATCTTATCAGTTTTTTTTTTTTTTTTTTTTTTTTTTTTTTGTAATTTTTCTCTCAAGTCATTTTAAAATACTGAAAACAGAAATCGTTCATAGCTTTCCTAACCAGGGCATTGGATGCTGTGTAGAAGCCAGGAAAAAACTTGGAAGTTTCCTGGCAAAGCTCTTGTGGATCTATTTTACACATCAGACCCTCTCACAGATAGTTTGCTCACAGATGTTAGAAGACTGTAATGAAGTTAATGATAAAACTGTATACAGTGTGTAAAGACTGGACCTGGAAGAATGCCTCTTGGCTTTAATGGCTTTTGGATAAGGCCCTAAGAAAATACAGAAGACACTTCACAGACAAAAACCATGCTTTAATTTTTTTTGGCAGGCTGCTAGCCTTCAAACCACTCCCTTTTTGCTTTTCCATCCCCTAATATTGTTGAGGTATTTTGATTCCTAAATACAAAGGTGCTGTGATGATCAGCCTCCCAAACTACCAAGATTTTGGGAGGGGACAGCTCTGATGCAAAGAAGTTGTGTCACTGTACAAAGCACATAAGCATCCTGTTGCTGCTCTAAAAGGTTTCAACTGAACATACTGATTTCTATTTCTCTTGGGGGTCCCCTGGCATCCAGTTGTGAGTCATAACATTAAAGTCTGGAAGGAAAGAACATCTTCAGAACTGTCTTTTACCTCTTATTTTAGCGGTCTCCTAAGTGTTTCTCTGGGTCAAGCTGCATTCAACTTTAGAAGATGGGAACATGTGGGATTACAAGACATCCGTGACTTTTTCCATGAGAAAATAATAATAAACTTTCAGTAATTTAAGGATAAGTTCAAGCTTTCCTCTGGAGACTCGTACATGTATTTGCAGATGAGATAGTTGTGATGTTTGCTAAGAAAAAAAAATAATCTCACAACAGGAAAGAATTTGTTTGGAGGAATCTCTCCTCCGCTGCTGAGGCTTTTAACCATTGTCTGCACTGAGAAGCTTTGTGCAGGGCTCCCAGCATCACACACACCAGATGTCAGCAGGAGTTGGCAGTGAGCAGAGCCGGGGTGCGTGTGGCTCCTGGTGCCATTTGAAGGGCTGTGGCTGTTTGCACAGGGGGCTGTGAGAGCCGCTTTGTGTCCACGTTACCATCTAGTCACCAGTAAGATTAGGATTCCTTCTAAGGCAGTGGTGGGGGAAAACCGGGGCTGAGGCCAGCCTGCAGATCATACAGCTCTAATCACAGGGGTTGCGATGCCTCCCAGGGTGAGAGAGGGAGCCCTGGGCTGGGCTGGGGCTTCTGGACTGATAGCTGTGGCCCTGACAGGGTTAAAAAAAGATCAGTGGAGTGCTTCAGGTGAATCATAATGGCAGTTCTAGTTCCTCTGCTGCCAGCAGTCCTGTGTGGGTGATCATGGCGTCAGGGACTGGGTGAGCATCCCTGGCAAGGGAAAGCCCTGCAGCTGCTGTACAGCACTCACGGTGTGCTGCCCTGCAGTGCTGCCAAGTAATTTTGTCTGTTAAAGATGTAACTTGTCCCTCTGCATGCCCTTCACACATCACAAATTGTTTTACTCCGTCTCCTTTCACTGTGCTTTCCCTCCTACCTTTTGTATTATGGCCTGAGGTGCAAAATGATCCTTCACTTTTTTTTTTTTGGTAGCTTCATGTGAGAGAATTGTTTAGATGATCAGTAAGGTGATGAATTTATCCTTCCAGCAGGATTTTTTTTAAACACTCAGAGCAACAGAGGTAGTGAGACTTGTGTGAACGCTGAGAAAGCAGCTCTGCATCTGGTTGTGATTTGGGCCTGGAGGTTGGGTGAGCTGTGCAACCCAGAAGGAGATAGCTTGGAGCTGAGAGAGAGAAACTTTTCCATTTGTGCTGAAGGTGCTCTCTGCAGGACAGCTCTGTTCTGTCCTTGGTGGACTGGCAAGGCAGTGTGCAGGGCTGCCACGATATGTTTCCCTCCAGCCTTTTCTCCATCACTTTCTCAATGTTCTTTCTGTGCATAAGTGGCCCTTTAATGGAATTGTTTTTTCCTGTATCTCATCACGAGAGCTGCACATTTATCCTTGTGTTTGGAAAGGTTTCTAAATATTCACATAAGCTTCAGCGTAATTTATTTTCTTCTGTAGCTTAATAAAATCTTGGATTTCATTCTGACTAGCTTTCTTCAGGGATTTACAGAAGGCGGTGGGGCTGGAACACAGGATTGAGCTCAGAGACAGGAAAATAAGGAGCTGTATGAATACCTAGCATTTGCTTGGCATGCTATGATGCAGCTCCAGTGCTGCTTGAAAAAAAAAAGCTCGTAAATTATTAATACTTGTAGGAGGAAATGAATATAGTAGTGGTTCTGCAATGTCTGGGTTGCTCTGAAATGTCGGGTATTTATGCAGGCTTCGAACACAGCATTTTGATCTGAAGGTGTTCTTGCTCCTGCTGCATTACTGGAGCCCTTCTCTCTGGCAAGGCTGACCAGCACCAGCCATTTCTTTTAGACATTTGCCATCCAGGTAATGTCTGTGTACCTCCCAGATACTTCAAACATACATTCTTCTTTCCCATGTTGTAGAGGAAGTTGCCCGATAGCTGTGCGTTCATGTAGAAAGTGAAGGAAGAGATAAATGTTTGGCCTGTTTAGTTTTGACTGAGGTGAGACCCATGGTGATGTTCTTTCCTGTGGAAGAATTTCTGCGGCCGAGACTCGCACCAGCAAACCTCTGTCTGGAACTCGGCAGCGTGCTGACATGCTTGTTGGCAGTTCCCTTCTGCTGCTGGAATGTAACTGCTGTGGGAGATGGATGCTGTAGGAGAAAAAATATTGTAGGCAGCTCTTCTTCCTTGCCGAGGAGGGGTCTGTATCTCATGGAGCAGGATCTCTTATCTGGTGCAGATCTGCACAGGATGAATGTTTGCTTCTGCCCCGGGCTGGATGTAGCTCAGCACACAGGGTGCTCAGCAGGCTGGGATTTCCTGCTGCTGCGCTTTGGGCTGGGAGGAAGGGCTCCACACTACAGGTCAGCAGCACCTCTTCATTTGTAGCTGCTTATTCAGTCTACAGAAAAACGATGCAGTTGTAAGAATTTCTTCTAAGTTACTGTCACATTAGCATATTTTGGCAACCAGATAGCCCAGCAGAAGAGCTTTAAGCTAGCTTAATTTTCAGTGCTTAACGAGAATAAGAGAGGTCTAAAAATATTTTACAAACTCATCTTTCTGTGTCAGCAATCCTGTAGAACTCACAGTGCTGTATGAGGAGGATGGCAGTGATGATGTCAGACTATCAGTGTGTTAATTTTCTTTTTTCTTCTTTTTACTTTCTGAAAAGTGATGGTTGTGTCTTTGCCACAACTTCTGTAGTTCTTTAGAAGGTTAATTTGCGGAGTGAGGCAGGAAGAGAGAATTTGGTACTTTGGTCTTTCTACCCAGAGGAAATGATAATGAAATGAAAATTGACAAAAATTCAAATTCCTTAATATCTCTGAAGAATCAGATATTTTTTCTGTCCAACTAAAGTGCATTAGAGAGTGAAATAAAAAGAGGGATGATATTTGACCATTCTAATTTTTTAAGACTTTATAAAAATGATTTATTGTGACACAAGCTTTGCTAGTACTCTAATGAGAGGTCTCTCAAGGTACTGCAATATAGTTGGACACTGGAAGCACTGATCTTCTGCTACATGCCATCTAAACTACGGTAAGAGTTTAACTTCTATGGGTTGTTTCCTACATCACATAAATTCATATCTTCCTGTGCAGGTTGCGTGAACACACTGGGAAGACTCTGAAATACATCCCCCTTTCTTTGTGTTACTGGAGACCTTCCACTGTGTCAGTCATTCTTAGATGTATTTTAGGACCTTGGGACATATCTATTTAATTTGAAATGTTCTTTATATCCCTCAAAGATGATCTAAAACAAGTTTATTTATATGTAGAAAATACGAATCGCTTTTTTGGAAAGTAGAAATACTAACGTGCTTCTTAAAATGGAGATGTGGCCGAATTCCTCTTAAAGCAAGCAATATGAGATAACACAGAGGAGTAGATACAGAAAAAATATTGGCTTAGTTAATGGTGTTTTGCATTTTAAAATAGTTTTTACCAGGTAATTTACTATAAACATGGCAAATGAGAGGTATTCACTTTAAAGGCCTTTCCATTGTGTTTATCAAATAACTGTTATAGTATTTACAATGCTGTATCGAGTTGGAAAAACTCTGAAGCTGTTTTGTGTATTTTCTCTCAAGGTTAAAGCTTTGAATCATGGGATAATGTGTGATATCTCTAGGGCTTCTTGAAACAGTTCAAGAACACGCACAAAGCACTGTGGTTTCTGCTATATTTGCACAGAATTTAACATTGTGTTCCTTTGGCTGAAGAGCAAAGATGAAAATATCAAGGAAAATATCCTTTGCATTAGCACCACAGTATACATTTCCACAACAAAAATCCCTGCTGTAGCTGTGGTGCAAGGCGCAGGAGTTACTCACCAGCAGCTGGTCCTGCGGGCAGCTGGAAGCCCTCGCAGAAATGCAAAGCTTACATTGGCAGGGAAATGCTTTCTGTTCTCAGACCTTGTGATTAGCTGAAGGAAATCGTTGCAGCTCTTGTGTCCCCTAATACTTTCCTTTGCTTATGCTTGCCTTAACGCTTGCTGTCAAGATTAATGCACGTATCGCTTTGTCGCTCGCTGCTCTGAGCTGTTGTGTCTGAGTGGTTTCTGCATGCCAGTTCTAGAGCTCTGGGGTATTCCTGTATCCAAATACCTCACAGCCTCTAATGTATTTCTTCTCAGTGCCACCCAGAGAGCTGCTGCTCCAGCACATGCGAGTAAACCGCTCAGCTGGGTCACGCACACTGTGGTAGACCAAGAACCTGAAGCACGGCTCCCTCTGTTCCCTGACTACTCCTTTGTCTCAGGTTTTAAACTCGCTTTTTGTACAAACCAAAAGTGCTTTGCTCCATGCTCAGTTAGCTGCCGGGGCAGCGTGTGCTCTGTGTAACAAGGGATATCGAAGTGCATGTAGTCTGTTCCCCAAGGCCTGTGGGCCTGTCTGTGCAGCAGGGCACAGAGCAGGGCCTAGCACTGAGCCCTGCATCCCTGCCCGTGCTCGGGGACCTGCCATGTGTTGTGAGGGTTGTGATGTTAGAGGGCGTTCTGCATTGCAGAGGGTGTGCACCTATATTTCGCTGTCATTCTGACGTTTGTCAAGAAGCCAGTGTTGGCATCTGCTGAGTGACCAGTGGAAGGGTGGAGGAGCTGCTTTGATCTCTTGAGCCTCAACATGCAGCATTTGGCCTCTGGACATTTCTAACTGTGCTTCTATCTGGAGATGCATTTTTTTTTCCTCTGCAGGAGCAGCAGCATTGTATTTTATGGTTGGAAAAAAAAAGGTGAATTCTGACATCTAGCTTTCTGATGTGTACAATTCACTATCTGTTTAATACAAAGTGCTGGTTTTGATGTCTTTTCAGGAAGTTATCTGTGAGCATATTTTCAGAGGCTTTACTCTGCTTGTGTGACAGCTTGATATTACTTACTGGTTCCACACATTCTTAATAGCCTTACTCAAATATTGCCTGACTTGTTTTCCAGATATTTTCAAAGTGTTTGTGAAAGCTTAATATTGCTGTAATCTCTCTACATGAATAATTGCATGGAACCTGTTATGATTCATTTATTCTAGAGGGGTTTTGAAGTCAGTACATGACAATCTATTTATGAGTTGCAGCTAGTCCTTCAGCATGCTGCATCATGCTTATTACTTTGCACATTTTATGACTTGCAATGCACAATCTGTGTTGGTTCTGTTTAGCAATGGGCTCCTTGTACACTTTTAGTCTAGGCTTTGAATGTGTTCCTGTTTGATCTGTGTCTTTGTCAGTTTATGTTGGCTTTGGATGATACAGCTGTAATGCAAATTATTTGCCCAGTCAACACTTTTTCTGTTATGAAATAAACTGCAGAAAAAAGTTCATATAGACGTTGAAGGCAGAGCCTCATCCATGGTGAACATTATTGATTGTGGGTGTGCAGGTTTAGATGAGCTGCAGCTGTTCCTAGTGAAATGCAGTGTTCACCTGTACAAACGTTTGCAAGCTTCATTTTTCATCTGTACCTTCAGAAGCAAGCAAGATGTCCTAGTGGAATCCTAGTTTGGTTAACAAGTTGCTGGAGAAAGACAAAATGAGCTTTCAGACAGACTGCTACCTCATGATGGTGACAAATCTTTTTCAGGCTGTTTTCCATTTCTTTGACTTTCTATGGTCATTCTATAAAAATAAGCATTAAATTGGATAACATTTGCCAAATGAAAAACAGCACTTTAGCATTAGAAATTGGAAATAAGGACCTAGTTTTACACTGAAACCATTAATATACATATTTGCTTTTCTTGGTGATCTGGTCAGCTTCAAGGGTGGCAGCAATCACTTGTTGAGGAGGTGGCTGTCTCATGGGCCCAGTTAGAGCTGTGCCATTTCCACCTCAGCACAAAGCCACAGCACAGTCATGCCAAGTAATAAATACACAAGATGCACGTCTTCGATTTGTTGGTAACACTTCCATGCAGCTTCTTCTTGTAACTGTGTAACTGCATTAGTGATTGTCTCCATGGAGTAGCTTCTATTTTTTTTCTTTTGTAGCTTCTTGTTTGCTGTCATATAAAACTGAATTCGCTCTTGGGTTCGATACATTTATCTCCAAGAAACTCCTGGGGAATTTGTGTTATTTGTTCCAACCTTTTCTTCACTATGTATGTCGAAATTTTGCTCAAGAAATAAATAAAAAGATATGATTATTGAGTTGAAGAGTTTAGAAGTTAATTTAGAGAGGCGAGCAATCCATAAAGAAATAGTTTGGGGGAGGATTAGAATATTGTTGGCTAATGAGCAAAGCATGAAAAGTTAAAAAAAAAAAAAAAAAAAAAGTATTGGGTAAGCAGACCTACTGATGAAGCTAGGAAGAAAAGTTGGCTGAAGAGAAGTGAGAAGCTGTTCTGAATATGGGGAAAGATACAAAACTGAGGAAAAAATAATGGGGGCAGTGGGAGGGGAAGAATGATGTAGATGGTGTGGAAAACATACAGTGTTATACCCGAGGAAGAAGTTTTTTTATGTTTGCAGTAATAACAGGAAACCACTGGAGAAATTCAGAGATTTTAGCGGTTTGCTTTAGGGTGGAGTGGAGAAGAGTTGGGAGGTAGAGAGCCTGGGCAAAGAAAAGCAGGGATGGTTGAGACAGGCAACCAGTGACAGTCTTAGCAGTTGGAAGAGTGCAGACCTTGGAGCAAATTTAGACACTGAATTTACTCTGTTTTGTTTTGCAAGCTGTTTGTAAAACTGGCATGGCAAACACCTGTAAGTTTTGCTTTCATCTTCAAGACAAATGGCTTTAAAGTAGGATCTTCCCACCTTAAGAAAAAAAAAACAACAAACACAAAACAAACCTAACCAAAATACAGATTTTGATTATTTCGTTTTTCAAATGAAATCCAGCAAATGCTCGGCAGATAAAGTTATATATAAATCAAAGGAGAACGGTCTCTACTGTTTGTTTCCCTTATGGGTTGTTACATAGGTCAGAAGTATGTTGTACTAGATTTGACATTCAAATGGTCAGCCCAGAAACTTGGCAGTGCTATGCACTGTTTCAGTAAAATCAAGTACAGAAACCAACTCAGGTTTCTTATCCTGCTGGCCAGAGGAGCTGGGGCGTTTCCTGAAGGTGAAACACTTGAGTTCAGAGGGAGAAAAGAGTGCCAACTACTTCAGTGAATGTCCTGAGCTAGAAGCATAAAGATCACATTGGGGAATAAAAAAAGAAGTGCATTGACATAACAGTGAACTGCCACTGCTCAGAAAACGTTTAGACAGATGACTTTAAGATGAGGAGATGTTGTGATTCAAATGATATTGCATTCACTGCGTATTCCCAGAAAAAGGAGAGGGGACTGAATTAAAGAAATAAATCAGACAAATGTATTTTGAAGGATATCTTGAGTTCAATAACCTTACATGACCTGGAAAAAACAGTTTCTTCTGAGCTTTGTGTTGCTGAGAAAGACAGTCTCCTTGGAGTCCATTAGAAGTCGATGCCAACCTACTGGAACATTTCCATAGTTTGCTGTCTAACTTCCCAAGGTTAATTTTGGGAACTCAGCAAATTCTGCAGACATGACATGCTCTTCTGAAGTACAGAACACCTCAGGGGCCTCACTGGCTTCATCTGTGGTCAGCACTTCCGAAGCACAAAGAGCATCCAAAACTTCAAAGTACATTAAATAGTGAAGATGTTTGACCTGAGATTCTTTCCTCCAACTGTCAGACTGCTTCCCAGAACTCAAGAGAATATTATTACTTAAGTTGGTTAAATACAATTTAAGCAAATATATTGCTTTTCATCCTAACACTGCTTTTTTTGACCATGACTGGACGCAATCTGGTGTAGGAAAGGGGAAAATAGATATATATATTATTTAGTTTATTTCTCCGTTTTGTTTCTATACATCAGCCTGTGAACTAACCTTATTCTCTTATTGTTGATGTCTCTCTGCTAGGAATTTACATGGTAGTCTGGGGCTTTTATGAATGCACATGGATAAACTATGGTGATATCTAAATTTGTAGATTTTGAGATTGAGACATGACACTTAAACCCAGAGGTCTCTGTCTCCATCTGTTGGAATGAGAAGGGCATAGCCCCAATGGCTGCTGTTTGAAGAGTCATCGTAATGAAACTGCAATTTCATTTTAGCTGTGTCTTCACCCGTGACTTTCAGTCTAACCAATGTTAGCAACAGCAGTGATTTGACACTGCTTGTGCCCATGGAGGTAGAAAGCTTGTCTTCACTGGAAAATAATAGAATGATTAGACATCTTCAGGTGCTCAAACATCACTTCTGCTTCCTTAAAGGTGGGCTGGAGTACTTAGAAAACCAACTCCCTTGTCAATCAGAGCGAGCACAGTCTGACCTCAGTATAAAAAAGAACTGGACTACATAAAAGGGTGAAGTTTTCATCCTGCATCAACCAAACTACAGGCTATGTACCTGTGCCAGGGTCTTGAGTGTAGAATAGTGCACTAAATCCCTGGGTGCTCCATCCAGATGTTGACTGGTCACATTTTTCCTCTCAGAGCCATTTCCCTCCCTACCCTTGGAGCTCTTTCATCTCTGGACCTGCCTTGCTGCTTCAGAGAGGGCATTACATGCTGCAGTGCTACAGCAAGGAGTTTACCCTGTCAGTTTGTTGGAACCTTGCTTTGTGATTTGGATGAAATGTGTTTATAAATGTTAACAGAGCAAGTAATATTCTTCTGCTCATGTGACAAAGAGAATCCTATTTATAAATGCTAGGACAGTTTCTTCTCTTGCTATGATACTGGTAGTTAACATCTGTGTAAAAGGCAAAGGAAATGAGAGAAGTAAACTTATTCATTTTTCAGGTATCCTTATGTTATATCAGGACATTCAAAACCATCCAGTGATAGAAAGGGTTTCAATAAATGCCTGAAATTGTCATTGCTCTCTGAGAATTTAAGGGATGGATTTTGACCAGTTCCCCAAATGCACATGAACACCAACCGGGACTTTCAGCAATCCTCATTATATGCAGGTTCCTTGCTTGGGTGCTTTGGGAAGTTGTGTTGGCTCTCCATGCTTAAACACCCTGGCAGTAAGAAAATTTCAGCCTAATAATCATTTGATCAGGGATCTAACTTGAAATCAGTTTGTCATCTCACTTGGTATCACTAAGAATCCCGGAATTTCAGAGCTCAGTAGGCCAAAGCCTACTTCTGTGTGAGCCTTTCTTCTACGTGAGTTTTTGCTGAATCCTCTTCTGTAGCAGGGCTCACTGCCCTGTGGCAGCAGGTGTACCAAGGGTGTAGGAGCGGGGAGTGTTGCTCTGGTTTGGTGCCCATGCCTTGTTTTGGACTTGCCAGCTGTTGGCGAAGGATCTGTCATCTGAAATGTTACAGGTTTTCAGCGCTGTCTTAAACAGTTCCATGGCACGTTTCTTTGTTGTATGATGTTGTAAGCCTCTCATCCTACCTTGGAGTAAGTTTTAGAGTTCGTCCATCAGAATTTACCTGAGGACTGCTTTATTTTGGCTTTTCATGGATACAGGAATATGTTCAGCTTCGGAGAAGACAGCGTTTCCTTTGACAAGAACTTAAAATTTCTGGTTTAAATGTAGTCCTCATTAGGTTATTTAACCATCTGCCTTTGGGCAAGCCAATCAGTACATGTAAGCTCATATCACTTCTAGGGGAAACGTTCTTTTCTGATAGCAAATGAACTCTGAGTGTTCTGACATACTAACAGGTTATTCAAAATACATTATTTTCGTTTTGCGTTCGATAAAAGTATCTTATCATGGCCTGAGATGTTGCATGGGTCCCCAGGAAGTCCTTCAGAGCCCATTGTCCTCTTTTGGAGTAGGGCCATTGGTGGAACAGCACTGGCAGTGCTGTGTGTGAAGGTACCTTTGATTTACAGATCTGTGCATTCATCTACACAAATACACACTAACAGTGTAATGCACAGTAGAAGCTGGGATACAGCATTGTCAGATGAAGTTTTGAGATCACAAGTTTGAAACAAAGAACACTTTTTCATGTACTGCATAATGCTAGAACTCATTTTCAGAGGACACTGCAGATGAAAAAGTTTTATGTAGCTCCAAAATTTGAATACAGGGTGTCAGTGGAAGAACAATGAATCCATAGTGTCACAGAGATGTACAGCTCATTTTGTGCTGTGGGAATCCCTCAAGCCATGGGCTCTTGGGAGAGCAGCCTCTGCCTACCCAGCAAGCAGCAATTGGCCCCTCACTGCAAGGGAAGGGACACCTGCATGGACCCTCATCCCTGACGCAGGAGCACGGCGCCCGCAGGGTGCTGCAGCTGGGCTGCACTCCAGCCTTCCTCTGTGCTGGAGCTGCTGGCTTTGGAGTGGGGATGATGTTCTGGGCTGGCTTTATGCTTGGTGGTATTTTTATTCCTCATATAGATTTCAAAACAAAACAAATAAGTTGTTGCTTAGCTACCCCTCTGGAGGGGCTCTCTCACCGTGCTGCAACTCAGTAATCTTAATATTGCATTTTTCGCTTGTTACAGTCTATTTTTGCTGGCTGGTGTTTGATGCAGACACTTCTGGGACTTTTTGATCAGCAGGAGTGGGAGGGCTGTGCAGAAAGAGGTGCCTGGCTTGGGAGCTCTGGGAAACGCCCCTCGTCAGAAGCTGGGCAGTATTACACCAGTCAATTTGCTGGTGGTTCGGGAATGATTCTTACTCTGATGAAACTCCATACTCAGGGTGTCTCTATTTCTTTGTCATTACAACACAACTCTGTTAAGAATAGATTAATTTTGCATAAGCATAAATACCAGAAAACAGAATTTTTGACTTCTGTTTTCTCAGAGATGTTTTGAAGGAGAAGCCGTAAATCGGCATTTTGAAGTCATGGTACTGCTTACCTCAAAGCACAGCAAAATGGAGCTACTCAACCTTTTGTGCAGTTAGAAATGAATGCAAAAAAAAATCTCTAAATTATTTCTTGTTGAAGGAAACAAGACATGCCTAATGCCCACAGCTTGTACTTTACCCTTTGTATTCAGCACCTAGGCAAAAGAGAAGAGAAGAATCTTCCTTAACGGAGACTATCACTGCGGACAAATGTTCCTTGAGGTTAAAGAGTGTAGATTCTGTTTGCTTCATTGCCTGAGTTGTTCTGTAATACTGAGCTGTGCAGCATTAGCCTTTGGTTGTTCTGGATGAAGAGCTTACCAGGGCTCCTGTATGCTCTGGTCACTGAGCTGTGTGTCCCTCCATGGTGTCCCAAGCAGCTCCCAGCCATATCTGCAAAATTAGCCTGACAGTCTTAAATACAGGCCCCTTCCTCCGCTAGGTGCAGCTGACAGTGCTTGACACATTTCTGTCCACCCATACAATACTTAATTTACAGCCCTTAGCCACAAAGCCACTTTCTGGCATTGTTAGAGAAATCAGAGTCTGTTCCCATAAAGCTTGTTACTTGACAGCATTTATGCTGCATGAATAATACGGTGATGGCAGCAATTTGCAATTAGCTGTTTGAGCCCTGTATCTCTCCTCATGTCCCTGCCACGTGCCTCCGAGGCTGTGTGGCTAAGTCTGACCTGCTTCCCTTCACAATTTTCCTTCTCTATAATGTATGCCTTTGAGCTCACTGGGGATACTGTGCAACTGGGGTAACTAAAAGGTTGGATGGCAGCCGCAGAGTGTGGATCACTGTGTTAGATTGGACTGAGCCATAAAGCCATCTCCTGCCGGTGATGTGTGAGAGGACCACAGTGCCCACACAGCCCCAGGGGCAGAGTGCCACCTGTGGATAGGACAGACAGACCCCATCTCTGGAGCTGGCTGAGACCTTCTGCTGGGGCTGTGCTGGACAGGAAAAGCCAGCCCCTGGTATGGAAGTGAATGCCTGGCAGGGTATGGGAGGTATCTGGCTTGTGGCTTTGGGGAGTCCTCACCGGCACCCAGAGGAGTGTGACATTGTTGGAACCTGTTTGAAGCACATGTGGTGATCTATATATAAAATGGTTTGTCCCCTTTGAGTGTACCAGGAGTGCCCTATGAGGCCAGCTGAGTGGGCAGCTGCTCGGAAAGGCCTCCAGGAGCCAGGGCCTGACCAAGGCAGAGGGCAGGAGGGAGGTGGGCAAGCAGATGCTCCCATCCCTGCCTGCAGAGCAGCTCCGGCTTGTCTCCCTTCCTCCATCTACAGCTAGTGCTGCTGGAGCACAGCTATAGAGCAGGATTGAGCTGGAGCCAAGGAGAGGAGCTGGCTCAGATCCACCAGCTAAAAGTGAGCAAAGCTTTTGAGTCTGACTGGAATCTCTCACAAAAACAAACAAACTAACAAAGATCCTTCCCCAAATCTATGTTTCCATTTCCCCCCCCCGCCCCCCCTCTTATTCTGTTAAAATAATTCCTTGCCTTTTCATTTGTTTTCAGGTTTTTATCTTCTTCTTCCCCTTCCTGACTATATATAAATGAATCCCTGTATGTGTACGTACTCAAGATGTTTTCGGTCAGTCGTGGAAAGTGTTCCTTTCTGTGGTGTTTTCATTGAGACAATCAGGGGCAAAGTTCTTGTGGCAGTGCCAGGTCTAATACCACAGGAAGAGCTGTGTCCGCTGGAAATACCACAGAGAGTACAGAACCCGCAGTATTTTCTAAAAACACAGAATGGTTTTGAAAGCAAGTCAAATACTGCAAAGTCAGCTCAGATTATTATTTTGTCTTAAATTGTTTATTTGGCTTTGTTTTATTTTCTTAAAAGGGTGCTGAGGAACATTGCTTACGTTAAATCTGGTTTTGCCACTGTGCCCTTCCAGTCAGAAACACAGCTGTAAAGTGATGGAAATGCCATGATTGCATCACTTCTAGTCCTGTGGACGCGCAGTTCAGACAGCAGTCTGGGTGCTGCTCTGCCTTCAGCTTTTGTTGACTCTGCGTCTTGTTGGTGTTTGCAGTTGCTCCTGTGGCATTCAGTGTGACAGTCATAGCTCTGCTTTCTCCATAGCTATACCTGGGAATGAGTCCTGTGAGATGCAGCATGCTGCTCGGTGCACAAGAGTATATGGGATCAAGGGCCCCAGTCTTAAAGAACATAGCATGAGTAAATACCCCTTTGGGGAGCAGGGGCAGGGAGCAAATCTGTGCCATTGGAATGAGTGCACTTCTACCCAGTCATTGGCACAGCATGGGTACACTTTTAATTTCCTCCTCCACTTCGAGAAGCAGTTTGGGAAACATCAATTTGATTGCTCTGTTTATGAAGGCAAATCATGAGCACAAACAAAATATTGAATGAACTGCTTCTTCATAGAAGTCTGTATTGCAAGAAATTTTAAAATCTCAAAAGAAGAGTTTGGAATACATGGGGAAGCAAGCGGTGAAGCTGAGGTTTGGAAAGACATCCTTATGTTTTTGGAATGGCTTTCTTCTGCATCAAGAACAGCCAACTCTGTGTGTTACTAAGTAAATGATTTCCCAGTGACTGTGAGTTAGCAATGGTTGTTGTGCAGAGGCTGACAGCTGGCCTCTGGAGCTGAAATACTCCTGGGTCTGTGCTGGTGCTGTGAGCTGTGAGAATGCAGCACCAGTGGGTTGTGAGTGGTGCAGAGCCGCAAGTCACAGCCTTCTCTGGGGATGATGGTTGTTATTGCACTGAGCGCCCAGGCTCCAGCGTGGAGAAGTAACTTTGGTTGCTTAGTGTTAGATGACAATTTAAAAGTTTTTCCTGTTTTCACAGGGGCCAGATTTTAATTCTGCTTAATTATGTCCTGTGTTAGCTCTGCTCTAAACTAAGAAGTCTCATGCAGCCTGGAACAAATTTTAAAAGGCCTTCAAGGATCAATAGTTCTCAATCATTAATAAATGAAAAAGAAGGAAAATACTACACAGTTAATTGTATACAATGTCAAAGGCACTGTTTGACTGAGAGAGGAATTTGGTAACTGTGTGGAAAAAGCCAAAGCCAGTGTATAAACAATGTGAATGTCATCAGGGAAGTCCAGGTGCTGCTCCCTGGCTGGGACATTTCTGCAGAGATATAATCCTTTTCCTCTTTGTCTTTAATGTGTCAGCTCAGGAATTTTCTGTCCTGCCCTGCTGTCACGATGTTTGAGGTCTGCAGTCTCTCTCAAACTTCAGCCTTGCTATTCGTGTGAGGGAGCAGTAGCACAGTCATATGGGGCGGTTCTCATCAACAGGAACTGCTGCTTTTCTGCTTGCTTGTCCTCAAAGGCTGTTTTTGTCTCTTCAGTATCAGGTTAAAATCCAGTTCAGCTGCCATGTGTTTTCTCCATACTTTCCCAGTCACTGATCAGTAAGTTGCGTGTACATGCAGATTCTTCCTTTCTAATTAGCTTATTCCCAATGACTAGTTGATTCACTGTCATAATCCAGTCTTATGTGGCCTCATAATCCTCTTGTGCCTCTTCATCTAAGCGATACGACGCAGTCAGGTCCAGACAAAAGCATACAGACAATTCTGTTTCTAAAAATGCACTTATTACAGGTTTGAAGTTGACACATGTCAGCACTAAGCAAAGCCCTCATCTTTTCCCAGGCCACAGTAAATATGACACTCCTCATTCAAGGCAGCTCTGTCCACCCCTGTGAGAGTCTGGGAAAACAGGCCCTGCAGGGAGGCTGGGGGCCAACAAAACAGCCTCTGTTGGACAAATTAAGTATCAGAGCAGAAGTTTTCAGAATGTATATGGTTTAGCAACAAATCACATACAGTAGACAGCAGGAGTCTGAATATGTGGTATAAATGAGGCTTTTTGTGTTGCTCTTTTCTTCAGGTTCCTTAGATAACTAGTTATTTATTGCTTTATAAAATTTTCTAAATAAGCCCACAAAAATGAGGCAAAGATAAATAAAAAACCAGCTAGCAGTCAGCCACGCATGGAAGGCACGGGTACAAACATAACCCCAGCTGTCCAACTTCCATCTTAGTCCTCATGTCGTTTGTGTGTTACATGCCATTTTCTGCCAAAGTAAAGATTCCCATCATCCTGGTAGCTTTCTTTGATGTCCAGCAGAGGAGATTCCTTTACATATGGAGGAAACTGGAAGAAATCTGTGTTCTGCCATACCTGATGTCTTGTTTCCCCAAAAGAGACAGCATGAGGAGTGCTCACCTCCTGCCCAGCCCCGCTGCTCCATAGGCACCTCTTTGACATTGCAGACCTCAGGGCATGGCCCAGCCTTGTACATTTGTTGTTTCCCAGCATGAACAATTCAAATTGAACTAACAGAGAGTACGCAGTAGGAGGGAGAGAGCTGTGCTATCAATTGTACCATCTCATCCTTGTGGACACCAAAGATGGCAAGTTGGACTCGGCCTTGGTGACAGTAAGGACAGTTGGACAAGGTGTGAATGGGTTCAGAGTTCATGTTTCTCAGTATGGGAGTGGGATTTGCAGCACTAGAAGATTTTGCAAGTGGTTCCAAGGTCCGTGGATACTCAGGCTCCTGGCTTGCCTTGCAGTTGTGCCAGACTCCTCCCACTGCACCCCTGGCCTGGCTGCCTGGACTTTGCTTCGGTTATGGCTGGGTTAGAAAGGAACCAGTCCACAGCATTCTTGGTTGTTTCTTTTTCTTTTTTTTTTTTCCCTCTCTGCACCAGTTTGTGATCTATTACCTATTTCTGTCCCATTCTCAGCAGACCTTGCTAGGCCATGGACCTTACAGCTCATTCTCAGGGCAGGGCCCTACCTGTCTCTTTCCTGGAAATTTATGACCATTTGCTCTGTGATAATTGCAATGTAAAACCTTCTTGCTCGTGGGAAAGATGTATACTGCTGTGTGCGTGCATTTGCACTGAATGCCATGTGCCAGCAGTGTGTTAAGAAAAATGTCTTTGACAGTAAAATAGGCCCAATAGTTTGTAATCTTAACTGCTTTGTGGCTCAGATATTGAACCAATTAGCAGTTATCAGAAAAGAGCCCAAGAACACTAGGAGGGTCTTATGGAAAAGTTTTATACCTTTTGAAGACCTTACACTGCCCCATCCCTGACGAGACTTTTACTGACTGGAAGTTACAAATGTTTTCATGTCAGGAAGTCCTTGGAAGTCTCCTACTCTGCTGCCAAGACCCAGCCCAGCTTCTCCTTGGCTGATAAAATGCAAGTGCCTGAAATGGGAAGGAGAGCAGCAGTACGTCTGGGCTTTTGTAGCGGGGAGGGAACAAGTGGACCACCAAGTGGGATTTTGACTTTTAGGGCTGGATGCTCTTCAGCCTCTGCAGCTAGGTGTTTGAACGGAATCCTGAAGAAGAATAAGACTTCCATGTGGCACTGACGGCAGGACGGATGAGGGGATTTTGAATAGGAACTTGACAATTTTTTTACCCAGCAGTACTTCAGTCAGATTCACACAGGTGCCAAGTTCTCCCATTCTCATAGGGCAGGCCAACTGTACTGAAAGCAATGGAAACCTGCTTTAGTTTTGAAATGCCATTTGGATGCTTTACATGAAGTACCTAAGCTGACTGTTGGTGTAACTTTACAAGTTACAAAACTTGTAAACAGGAAAAAAAAAAAAAAAAAAAAAGCTTTCCTTGATGAAAGTTTATGCAAATTCACTGGTTTCTTTGGAACCTTTCGTTAAGATGAATCCCATCTTTAGTCATTGCAGTGCTAAGGCAAGTCGAGTAGATTCAGAGTGAGGTTGCACCATCAGCGTGTGGGCAGGGAACTCAGAGCCACTGAGGTTTGCTTCCTGTGCCAGAGCAGGTCCTGCAGCCTGTCACTGGCTGTGCAGTGCCATGTCTGATGAGCAGCAGAATGGAGTCATGCTGCCTGGACAGCTGAGCAAATAAACAGAGAATTTACAGCCCTTTGGTATACAAGCTATGGGATTGTTACCTGATGCTCTTAAAATGGGAGGCAGCCCAAGCTGCACGTCATGGGTGGCTGTGCATGCTGCCCTCTGCCTTTCTCTGGGATGAGCTCTGTGTGCTGCAGAGCCGTTGCTTTTTTTCAGATCCCTAAATTCACATGCTGACTTTTGGGATTACTTTTCAGTCAAGGCATGGTTGTAATTATATTTGAAGTATTAGAGGCCTAAAGAGCCAAAGTCAATATTTTTTTAATGACCTGTTTAATGCCAAATGTAAAACATGAAGATTTGATTCTCCAATCACTTTTGCGTTTTTATGCTTTGAGTTGGAGATGGCAGATTTAAAAAGTTGAATTTCAGTATTAACACATTTTGGTTTTGATATCCTGATTTATTCTATTTTTGTATAATGCATTTTCTTAGATTAACAGTTTTTTCCCATTCCACTTGCTCACTATTTTGCTGGCTAGAGAAGCAGTGGATTAAGGACAAAATAAGCAGATCAGCAGAGGGGCTTTGAACAAACAGGATTTTGGCCTTTTCTGTGTTCTGGGGACATAGACAGTTACTGGAGTGGGAGGGATGACCTGGGTCATGGAGGTCACTCCTCTGCTATTATGGGCAGCCACAGCATTAAATGTCTGTCATAAATGCATTCTGTACCATCTCAAAACTAATTACTTTTCAGCCGTTCCCTGTTCCTATTAGAAGGCTGTTCCAGATCCTTCCTCTTCAGAGGGTTTCTAATCCTCTTTATTTCAACTCATGGTGAGTTGATACCTATTTCTTCATGTGACAGAATTTTACTTTGGCTTCTGTAGTTATTTTCCCTCCTTGCTCTTTTTCTGCCCCGGCATTTTGATAGAGAGCAGCCATACATCCTTCCAGCCTTCCTTATGTATAAGAGTTGTTCCTGGGCTTACCCAGGGAAAGCAGGAAGAGGGCAGGGCGGAAGGACTCTGCCCATTGGAAATGCAGATCCTTCTGTCACTGGGTATTCTTTGGACTTGTTTGCTGTTCAGAAAAGTTTGCCAGTGCTGCTGATGGGTGCAGAGTTGGATGCAACCCGGTAACTGCCTGTCTCCAGTCTTTTGGAAGTTCTACCTTCTGCTACGGCCAGTGCTGTTTCCTTCGTTTGCTCTATGGCTTATATTTGCTCTGTAAGATGCTGTCCATCATGTTGTTGATACAGCACAACCATGCGTCAGTCTGTGAAGAGGGCTCCTGGATGTTTGGGCAGTGCAAATAAACATGCATAGTGGAGTTGGAGGGAGAGCAAAGCTGCAAAGGCACTTGAGGCTTTCCTATTGCATGAACAGCAATAAAGGTTGTTAGAAGGAGCCAAATCTAGCCAAAAGAGGCTTGATTTAGGTTTTCCTATGATTCCTAATCCCCTTGATTAGCTGCAAAGGCACCTGGATGTGCACTCCTTAAAGTGCTTTGCAGATCATGACCGTCTCATGCAAGCTCTCCTCTTTGTATTATATTCCCTGTTAGACTTTCCTCTTTGTATTATATTCCCTGTTAGACTTTTTACTATCCTGTTTTCTTTAGACATCATGTTTGCTAGTTAGTAGTGTATGAATGATAAAAATCTGTCCGATGGAAACATGTAACAGCTTTTCTCATCCCCCCCCTTCTGAACTGTTGTTTAATTGAGCAGCCTTCAGGTCTGTAGACTCCATTGATTTATTTCATGCAGCTCTTTGTAGCGGTCTGTGTTGTTACTATGGCAATGGGAAAACATAAACAGTATAAATGAGTAATGGCAATAAGGAATTGTTAGCTGGCAACAGAGATGATACATTTTGACCCTTTGTGAGATTTCTTTATTGTCTGAGGACAGACAACAAAATAAAGGGATGGTTTTCATCTGTCACAGGAACAACATCCAAATGGAGAATATTTCAAATTGGGAAGGGATGCATTAACCCCAGAGCAACCTTAGACCTTTGTTACCTGTGACAAAGCTCAGGGGCCCAAGGAGATGTATAGAAAAATTCTGGATGACTTGACTATCAATCTGTCCTGGAGCTGGAGCTGTTCTGGCCCACCAATGTTTCTGCAGGAATTGTCATCTGTAAGATGTTGCTCAGAGGTAGCACCTCACATTGTTTTACCTCCCTGACAGGTCCCAGTCCTCAGCAGCTCCTTCCAGCAGGGCAAGCAGCTTCACTGCAGGACTCATCCCAACCAAATGAAAGAGCCCAGGGACCCCGCTTTGCCGCATGGCTCTGCATTTGGTTTGCAGAATCCTGGCTTGATGGAACTGCAGCCTGCAGCCTGTGACTTCAGAAATGTAATTGCTAAGTCATGTAAAAAGATTAAAAACGAAAAGAGCTCACTCATACAGACCCTGAAAATTCTGTTCTGAACTTGGCCTCGTGCTGGTGTGGATCTGTACAGCTCAGAGGAGCTCAGAACAACTCGTGTTTGCCCGAAGATCTGGATGTGCAGTGTTATTTGTTGGCTGCTCATTTGGATCTATTCACAGTGCTGGGTGAAGGGTTTTTGCTACCTTTGCTCTCAGAATCTATTTTCCCCAGCTTCAGTTTAAGCATAAATCAAATTGCAAGTCTAGATACTCGCTTCATCTAGACTTCTAAAAGAGCAAGGTTCTGCACAGCAGGAGCAAAAGTATCAGAATCTGTTATCCATGTTTAAATGAATTTTGGGCCTTGGATTAAAAATTGCAAACATGGTGGAATAACGACCAGTGACATGATAGATGTCCAGGGTGAACAGATGATGAGATCTCTGCTCAGCCTGTACACTGCCATTGCCGTTGCTTTTCTTGTTTGTAAGGAATGGGACTTTAATGTCATCTGTTTGAGATGCTCGATTGTTTGGTGCTGTAACATTCAGAAGGCTGTTGGCAATGAAACGTACATACTTCAAACTGGTGCAGCTGTGGAAAGTGCAGCTTCCTAAATAATTGTGTAAAAAGGGTCAGGTCCTTACCTGGGTCAGTTGTACTGCTACCAGTGCTCATGCTCACTGATGGGATTTTATTCTGACTGGGGAGCAGTAACAACAGTGTGCTGTGGGTGCGTTGGAGGTAAGCATGCCTCAGAAGATGTCGAGTTCAATTAAATTACCCAGATGGGCAAAATTCAAGACTAAAAGCACTGGAGGTACTTTTCTTGGTATGCAGTTTTAGAAATCCTGGTATTTGTTAGCCTGACATTAATGCCTGGCGTGTTTCCTCTATTCTTTCTGATCTGCCAAAGTCTCATTCAAACTAAGTTAGATAAGTGTGGCCAGTTTGTTGTTTTCCAATAAACTTTTATCTTTCCTCTTATAGATCTCTGAAAACTTCTTTCATGAGTTTATGTGCTGTGGAGATGTCAGTAAACACTGAGATTTGTATTTCATTCTGAAAAGTCTATGGGAAATATACAGTTACCTCCTGCTTGGATTTCTGGTGTCTTTACTGGAGCACATAGTTAATCCCAGCTGTTGTAATAAATATCCAGTGAAATTCTCTTTAGGTACTGACAAAATCAGTCCAAGCGCAATCCTAAGAACAAGATGTAATTCATATAATTTGTATAATGTCTAGGTTGTCAGACTGAAAATGAATGCATATTACAGACTTCTTTGTGTACAACACCAAGCCATGATTCAGCAAAGCAATCATGCATGAACTTAAACATTCTCTGGATTTTAGTAAGAGCAAGGAGGCATTCACACATTGCTCTGAGCACAGTGTCCTCCTCGTGGAGTTGCAGGGCTGCCTTTTTTAGCCGAAGAGTTCCCATGGATGTCAGTGCCTGTGCTCTCTGGGCACTTCCTAGAAATTGGGTCTGGCTGCTGAGGGCTGTCTCCTGACCCAGGCTGCAGCCAGCTGCTGTGCTGGCTTACCTGGTTCTGTGCTTTCTGCTGTAGCAGGGCATGCACTGGAAGCAGCAGTTCCCACCTTTGGCGTTTGTGCTGCATGTTAGCCCAGGTTACCTGTGTCTATCCGGGACTGTCAGAACGTGTGCTGATCCCTGGCTTTCCTGATTCTCGTCTCTCTTGCAAGAGGCAGACCTGTCCTTGGGAACTGGCTGCTGCAAACAGCCATCTGAATATTGATTGAGGTCTGGCTTCAGGAGCAAGACTTAATTGAGCTGATCCTTGCCCTTTTTACGCTGTTTTGTTGAGTGCTTAATGCCTGTCTTGCTCAGATTAAAGTCCTACAGCAGTTGTGACCCATTTCTGCTGCACTGGTGTGGTACTGGCAACTCCAGAGAATTAAAAATCACTATTCCAGTAAAAAAAAGTGCTCTGGGCTTGGGAAACTGATTTATTTTAACTAAAAGCACACGTTGGTTCTCTCTCCTTAGATTCTGATGTTTGAATTTTTAGGATCAAGCAATTGAAGGGAGGTTGGGGTTTTTTTGTGTGTTTTCTGTTTGTTTGTTTGTTTGTTTGTTTTGCATCTGCAAGAGGTAGAAGTAACATTTTGCCAGGAAAGCTGGTAATCTCATACAGCTACATGGCCCCAGAAGCTGGCCCTTAGGCTTTGAGGAAGAGAGCAAATATGAGATCCTCTTAGGAGATGCTAGATCTGGTAACTGCTGTGTACTGGTGAAGAGAAAATAATGTGCTCTGGGGAGAATACACAGCCAAACTACTGCTAGGAATCAAAATTCTGTCCAGAATTGCTTGGTTTATAAAAGCCTTGTCACATCAGAGTTTGGATCTTTCCCAGAATACTGTTTCTGAACTCTGAAATACTTAAAAGAATGATTTCTGGCATGTGAAAGGGCAGAGAGTTTGTGTAAAAGGCTGCCTTAACTTTACACTCTTTACATAGCTTTTCATACACATTTAAAATTTTCCACATAGAAACATTTGCATTTTAATAAATTACCATTTCTTCAAGAAGAGAAACACCTCATGCACAATGCTACATGATGATGTGAAGCACTTTGTAAATCAAAGATGCTAAAGGATGCTAAAGGTTCTCTTTTTTAACAAAAACACTCAACATACTTCAAAATACACTCGTTATTTCCCTGTGGTGTGGGACCCATGTAGCAGATTTTTGTGATTTTTATGTGATCCTTTGGTCACATCAGCAAGATTACATTGTTTGCGGCCGTTTTCTGCTATGTAGTGAAGGTTTGGTTCATTGCTTATCAGTAATTTTCCTTTCCATGTTCAACCCTTGCTTTTCTCTTGTAATCTGAGGTCTGTTTCCCTGAGCACAGGTTTCTCTATCCCCACCTTGAAGTGATGTCACGTCATCTCCCTGCAAGTCATTCCATGCATCCATCTAGCCAGAAACATTGATTTTTTTGTTCAAACCCTTCCGCAGTGTCAAAGAATTTTAAAGTATACATTCCTAGTATATGACCTCTTTGGCTATATGGTGATTATTAATATTACAGAAGCAAGTAAGGAAATGACATCAGTAGATAAGATGGACTGTGCAATAGCAGAAGCTTTATCCACACTGAATACACTATTCATTTGCACAGAAAGATCATTTCTCAATTCAAAGAGGAATATTCTAATTTAAGGCCTAACTTCGGCCATATGTCAAAATCTGTGCAGAAACAAAGCTTAGCACTGTGCAGGGAGCCCGTAAGAAACACATTCCCCTTTGTGGATGGCGACTGGTAGGTGCATCCAGCCCTTGGAGCCCTCGTTTTTTCCTGACAAGCTCTCTTTTTATATCAGAAAGAGCTTCAATTTAGTCTGTTTGTAATTTAATGTAGAGTGACTCAAAGGTGTAAAAAATGGGAAATGCTGTAGTGAGTGGCCTCCAGGTTAACTTTCCCATAAGCCTCACCTAGGAGGTTTTTATTGCTCGTTTGAGCAGATCAGAAAGCATGCTGCAGAAGCACAGCTCTGAAACAGACTTCCATGAAACAAACTTTTGTGTAAAAATTCAGTTGAATGTAGGTGATAGCAGTGAACATTCCAGACACAGAAGGTCAGAGGAGTCTCTGTTCAGCCACACAGGAAAGGCCAGGAGCTGGAGGCATGGCCAGTCTCCGTGGTGCGGTGCTGCAGGGAGGCTGGGAGAGTGCTTTGTGTCCTGTGCTGTACCTGCCGTTGAAGACCTCGTGCTGGGAAAGGGAAGGGAGGTCCTGCAGAGGACGGTGATTTTTCGGCAGCCCCTCGAGGGCTCCATCAGCAGATGGCTGGCGTGGCCACCCACCCTTCCTACGCAGCGCCGTTCCTGTGCTCGCACACAATAGCGTTCCATACTTCCATTTATATTTGGAGCTGTGTGCTGCCTGACTTTGCTCAGCGCATTCACCTCTGCTGACATAAATCAGTGCTTCACAATGGAAGGCCCTAAACAAGCACAGTCAGTAGAGATGGACTGTATGGCTGTGGAGCTTCGCTCACTGCAGGTCAGGGCCAGGTGCCTGTCCCTATCTGTGCATTAACTGTAAGCTGCAGTGGAATGAAAATATGGAAAGGGAGCTGTGGTAAAATAGTGTTTTCATCCTGGTGGGCTTTGCAAAATCCCAGCCTTCAGATAAGGTGTTAACTT